GCTTTACATGTGTCCCAGAGATTCTGGTATGTTGTGTCTTCATTCTCGTTGCTTTCGAAGAACTTCTTTATTTCTGCCTTCATTTCATTGTTTATCCAATCAACATTCAAGAGCCAGTTGTTCAGTTTCCATGAAGCTGTGTGGTTCTGAGTTAGTTTCTGAATTCTGAGTTCTAACTTGATTGCACTGTGGTCTGAGAGACTGTTTGTTATGATTTCAGTTGTTTTGCATTTGCTGAGGAGTGCTTTACTTCCAATTATGTGGTCAATTTTAGAGTAGGTGTGATGTGATGCTGAGAAGCATGTATATTCTGTGGATTTGGGGTAGAGAGTTCTGTAAATGTCTATCAGGTTTGCTTGTTCCAGGTCTCAGTTCAAGCCCTGGATATCCTTGTTGATTTTCTGTCTGGTTGATCTGTCTAATATTGACAGTAGAGTGTTAAAGTCTCCTACTATTATTGTGTGGGAGTCTAAGTCTCTTTGTAAGTCGTTAAGAACTTGCCTTATATATCTGGGTGCTTCTGTATTGGGTCCATATATATTTAGGATCGTCAGCTGTTTTTGTTGTATCGATCCTTTTACTATTATGTAATGTCCTTCTTTGTCTCTTTTGATCTTTGTTGCTTTAAAGTATATTTTATCAGAGACAAGAATTGCAACTCCTGCTTTTTTTTTTGCTCTCCATTTGCTTGGTAAATCTTCCTCCATCCCTTTATTTTGAGCCTTTGTGTATCCTTGCATGTGAGATGGGTTTCCTGGATACAGCACACTGATGGGTTTTGGCTTTTTATCCAATTTTCTAGTCTGTGTCTTTTGATTGGTGCATTTAGCCCATTTACATTTAGGGTTAATATTGTTATGTGTGAATTTGATACTGCCATTTTGATGCTAGCTGGCTGTTTTGCCCGTTAGTTGATGCAGATTCTTCATTTTGTTGATGCTCTTTAGCATTTGGTATGTTTTTGGAATGGCTCGCACTGGTTATTCCTTTCTATGTGTAGTGCCTCTTTCAGGAGCTCTTGTAAAGCAGGCCTGGTGGTGACAAAATCTTTGAGTACTTGCTTGTTTGCAAAGGATTTTATTTTTCTTTCACTTCTGAAGCTCAGTTTGTCTGGATATGAAATTCTGGGTTGAAAGTTCTTTTCTTTAAGGTTGTTGAATAGTGGCCCCCACTCTCTTCTGGCTTGTAGAGTTTCTGCCGAGAGATCTGCTGTGAGTCTGATGGGCTTCCCTTTGTGGGCGACCCGACCTTTCTCTCTGGCTGCCCTTAGCATTTTCTCCTTCATTTCACCCCTGGTGAATCTGACAATTATGTGCCTTGTGGTTGCTCTTCTTGCGGAATATCTTTGTGGTGTTCTCTGTATTTCCTGGACTTGAATATTGGCCTGGCTTGCTAGGTTGGGGAAACTTTCCTGGATTATATCCTGAAGAGTATTTTCCAGCTTGGATTCATTCTCTTCGTCACATTCTGGTACACCTATCAAACCTAGGTTAGGTCTCTTCACATAGTCCCACATTTCTTAGAGACTTTGTTCATTCCTTTTTGCGCTTTTTTCTCTAATCTTGGTTTCCCGTTTTATTTTATTGAGTTGATCTTCGACTTCTGATATCCTTTCTTCTGCTTGGTCAGTTTAGCTGTTGAAACTTGTGCATGCTTCGTGAAGTTCTCGTGTTGTGTTTTTCAGCTCCTTCAATTCACTCATTTTCCTCTCTAAGTTGTCCATTCTTGTTATCGTTTCCTCAAATCTTTTTTCAAGGTTCTTAATTTCTTTGCACTGATTTTGAACATGTTTTTTTAGCTCACAGAAGTTTCTTATTACCCACCTTCTGAAGTCTGATTCCGTCATTTTATCACACTCATTTTCTGTCCAGCTTTGTTCCCTTGCTGGTGAGGAGTTTTGGTCCTTTGTAGGAGGTGAGGTGTTCTTGTTTCGGGTGTTTTTCTCCTTTTTGTGATGGTTTCTTCCCATCTTTGTGGATTTATCCACCTGTCATCTGAGTGGTTGCTGATTTTCCGATTGGGTCTGAGTTGACATCCAGATTGTTGATGATGAAGTATTTCTGTTTCTTGGTTTTCCTTCTAACAGTCTGGCCCCACTGCTGTAGGACTGCTGAGGTCCACTCCAAGCCCTGCTTGCCTGGGGAACTCTTGTAGCAGCTGCGGAACTGCGAGGGTTGCTACCAGATGATTCTTCTGCTATCTTTGTCCCAGAATGATGCCCGCAAAATGTCAGTCTGATCAGTCCTTTGTGAGGTGACTCTTTGGATATACTGGGGTCAGGGAGCTGCTTGAGGGGACAGTCTCTACTTTATAGGAGCTCTAGTGCTGAGCTGTGAGCTCCGTTGTTCATTCAGGGCTGCTAGGCAGGTATGTTTAAGTCTGCTGCAGCAGAACTCATAAAGCCCCCCCTTTTTTTTTTCCTCAGGTGCTCTGTCCCGGGGAGTTAGGGCTTTATTTATGAGTATCCGTTGCACTTTCCTGCCCAGCAAGGAGGCAGTCTAGTCACTCCCTGCCTGTAGTGGCTATGATGAGCTGCCGTGGGCTCCGCCCTGTTGCCGTGGCCTCCGCCCTTCTATCATGGGCTCTGCCCTGCTGTCATGGGCTCCACCCTGCTGCCGTGTGTAATTCCCTGTAGTCCTGTTTATATGGGTGTGGTTAGAACTGCAGTGGCGATGGTGGCCCGCCTCTGTAGTGGCGGACTCTCTCTGTTATGGCGGGTTTCCTTGGCAACAGCAGGCTGCGTCAGCAATGGCAGAGTACCTTTGTAGGGGTCGCGTGCTTCGGTAGTCGCAGACGCCCCTCCCCCACTGAGCTGCACTGTCCAGGGTTCAGCTGTGCTTGCTGTGAATCTCTGAACCCCAAGCGTTTCCAATGGCTGTTATGTTTGTTTTTGCGGGTGTGGGACCCGCTGAGCCTGATCACCTGGCTCCCTGCCTCAGAGCCCTTTTTTTTTTTTTTAAGTTGAACGGTTGACTCTCTCCCAGGTGTTCCAGTCGCCTGCTGCAAGGGCGCTGGGATCTGTGTGATTTCCCATGCAGCAACCCACTGTGCCGGCTCAAACCATGTTGCTGCCCGGGAATCTCCTGGCCTGGCTTTCTGTTTAAGTCCCATTTAATCAGATGAATGTGCTAATCTGCCTTCCAAAATCTCCAGTTGCCGGTTTAACAGGGCAACCAAACCAGTGTGTTTTGTACGGAGTGTCGCTGCACTGCGGCCTTGGCCCAAACAGCCACGCCGGCCCAAATTGCCGCACTGGCGGCCCTTGGAGCTCTTACACCTGGGAATCTCCTGGTCTGTGGGCAATAAAGATCCATATGGAAATGCGGCGTCCACTCACCCTCTGTGGATTCACTGGGAGCTGCAATCCTTAATTGATCCCAAAGCGCCATCTTTTCTTCTCCTGATTCATGTTTTTAAAAGATTCCCCAGTTGTTTAATGGACAGAGAGCTCTAGAAGGGCACGAGCTGAGGCAGAGAGAGCAGCTGGGAGGCCACTGCCACTGTCTGTGGTTTGGAGGAGGGTGGTGGTGGTAGAAATGGAAAGGAGTGAACAGAATCAGGATCTGTTCAGAGGAAGGACAGACAGGATTTTCTGATGGGTGGGACGGCAGGGAAGGGAGTGTGCTTGTGGATGTCCAGGAGGAGGAGTCAGCGCTAAGGCTCCTAACCCCCGGTAACATGGATTTGGGAAGGTCAGGGAGGGCGTTGGACTTGAGAACATGCGCTGAATCTTGGATATGCTGAACATACGTGCCACCAGAATCAAAGTTGCAGCTAGTTCTTAGGGCTACTGCCTCCTTGGTGGCACCTCCCTGAAGTGCTTGCTTTCTGCTGCCCTCGTCTGTGGCAGGTGATGCCTCTGAAGGCCGTTTGCACCTCAGGACTGAGGCACGTTAGAGCCCTGCACTGAGAGAACTCATGTATTTTTCGTTTTAGCCTCTAGGCTGGTGGACCACCTGCTGGCTGCCGCCGTAGCTTAGAGTTTTACTAATGCTGATGGGCATTTTACAGCTGGGCACACTGTGGCTTACACCTGTAGCCCCATCTGCTCCAGAAGCTGAGGTGGGAGGATTGCTTGAGCCCAGAAGTTCAAGGCTGTAATGAGCCGTGACCATACCTGTGAATAGCCACTGCACTCCAGCCTGGGCAGTACAGCGAGACCCATCTATAAGAAAACATTCTTATAGGCATTTTAAAGGAAAGCCAGTTTTTACTCAGTCACATCCCCGAGGGGAGAGCATGGGCTTGGAGCCAGATTCATTTACTAGCTTTGTAGACCACCCCAAGGTTTTGAACCTCCAGTCTCTTTCCTGCACATAAGGAGTAACAAAGCAGTGATTCCTCTCAGAGGTTCGTTGGGAGGATTATTATTTGGTAAAGGGCTAGTGTACTGCCAGAGACTGAGTTAATAAACGACGTGTAGAAAGCAGAATAATTTGTTGCTGGGGGAATGGAGCTGCAGAAATGTCAGCATGCCTGGGTGTGGTGCTCCTGCCTGTAATCCAATACTTCGAGAGGCTGAGGTGGGAGGATCACTTGAGCCCAGAAGTTAGAGACCACTCTGGTCAACAGAGTGAGACTCCGTCTCTATTATAGTAAACATTTTTAAAATGTTAGCCAATATGCCCTTCATTGATCAAACGTTCATTGGATACTCACCGTGTGCTCCAGGATCGCTGAAGCATCGGTAAATGAACCACACGTGGTTCCACCCTCAGGGAGCTGTTGTCTGGGAGTGAAAAAGATTGGGTGATTTCTATACTAAAGGACTCCACAGCTAGAACAGGGCTGCTGTTGTGTGCAGCCTTGTAGGATGTTGAGAGGCGGGTATGCCAGGCACCAGAAGTCCCTGCAGTGTAAGTTCTTAATAAATGCACACCTGCAGGCCTGCAGCTGGAAACCCTGGGAATGTGCGCTTTCCCAACCTGCCTCAGCAGCTGAGTATCTGTTCACGCCTCACTCTCACTGTTACTCTGATGTTTGCCTTGCTGTCTTCACAGGAAGGGTGGTAGGACGGTTCTACGGAGAGGATGGGCTGCCTACCCCAGCACTGACCCAGGCGGAAGCTATGATCACCAAAGGCCTGGAGAGAAACCAGCAGGAGCTGGAAGAGAAGCAGGCATTCCCGCCGTGCAATGCGGAGTGGAGCTCAGCCAGGGGCAGCCGGCTCTGGTGTTCCCAGAAGAGGTAAGCATGCTCCCCTTCTGTTCTTTCTGCCTCTGTCTCAAACCCACCTTCTGGGTCATCCAGTCTACATTACTCAGTGAAAGCAGGGTCTGGATGGTTAACCCATGGAACTTTTTCAAAATTCTGATAATCATTCCCAACTTGGGCTGCATATTAGATCTGGGGAACGGCAGAAATGACGGCTGGTCAGACCTCACTCCAGTCAACAGTGTGAGAATATTAGGATCGAGACTTGGACCTGAGGCCTGGGCATTTTTATTTTTTCCAAATTCTCCAGAAAGCCTGCTGACACCACCTCAGCTGAGGAATGAGAATGCAGGAGCCCTCTTGCTTTCTCTGGCCTGTTCAGCCTTCCCCGGGTTTGTTTTCCTGTTTGACTGTACAAATCATGGCTGTCTACAGGAGAGAGGGGCGAGGAGGTGGGGACGGCATGCACAGGGATGGCTTCTGCCGCTGTCTACAAAATAGGGCGAGCTAGGCGTGGTGACACACCTGTGGTCCTGGCTACTTGGGAGACCAAGGCAGGCAGGTTGCTTGAGTTCAGGAGTTGGAGTTCAGCCTGGACAACATAACAAAAAAATAGTCACAACAGCAGCAACAAAAACACTGCAGATTTGGACTTCTCTGCCTTAAGTGAGGGGAGCAAGGGCAAAGGGAGCAGGGAGGAAAGCCCCTTCTTTCCTGGCCACTAGCCTTGAAGAGACGGCTTCCCTAATGTCATCATCTCAAGAAAGAGGGGAGGGACTTGTGAGTTCCTGGCCTGCTCACTTCACAGAGAGAAGCTAAGATACGGGGGTCCTTCCTGTGACCCAGGCCTGAGTGCAGGTGGCCCCAGAGAGCACTGGTCCTCCAGAGGAGACTCCAGGAGGCCTATGTGTGTTCAGATGCTCGACTCTGCACCTCTGGGGCCTGCCTCCTTTTCCCTCCCCACCGTCTGCTGAAGCCCTTCTCGCTTTCATGACTGAGGAGTTCAGGCTCTGCCTTCCCACAGAACCCTCCAGAGCTGCCCTGGGGAATGGAGGGCCCGTCACTGTGCCTCAGCTCAGCTTGTTGCTTTCTGTTCACTTGCGTGTATCCCCCATTAGATGCGAGGAACAAGCGCCAAAGGCAGGGGACAGGCGTGGAGTCAGGCCACCGAGGATGGCATGGAGGCTGGGTGGAAGGGGAGGCATTTTGGTGACAGCCTTATTCTTGGTAAGCTAGAAGTCAGGTGTTTCTTACTGGCTGGCAGTTTCTCTGACAGCAGTGAGTCTGCTCGCAGGCACTGGAACCTGTATGAGGTATCAGTTCCAAGAACCTCATTTTTCTTTTTCAAGGCCTGTGAGTCCATGAGAGACTGAACCCAGAACTCTGAGATGAGCTAGGTTCCTCTGCCCAAGGAGGTTGCTCAGGTGATGTTGGGCCAGAGCTGAGTCCTCCACTTCTGAAGCCTGGCGCCATCAAGGACTGGACCTGTCGGGGACAGGCCAGCCTGCAGCTACACCCTGTGCCAAGGGCTTCCCGGAGAAGGCCGACTCAGGTGGCCAGGGCACAACGGCCAGTTGCCCACCCCCACCCCAGTGCCCCAGAGAGGAACGTGAAGACAGTGGCCAGTGCTGGGTTGTAGAGGGGAAGAAGGAAGTCACACCCAGACCCTGCTTCTGAGAAGCTCACTGGCCAGCGGGGAAACTTTTCCCAGCTGCTAGCAGCAGTGCAGGCACATGGTGCTGCCTCCTAGGATGGGCAGGGCAGAGCTGGGAGCAGTGAAAGGAGCCGTGGACTCTGCCCATGGCCTGGGCAAGCTGGAGGTAGTTAGGAGAGAACATGGAGGCTCGGTCTGCCCGCCGTGGCCTGCTGTCTTGGGAGACACTCCCGTGGGCTTCTGCTTTTCACACAGCCTGGCTCACTGCTTCCTGCTCTCCCCTGCCCAGAGACTCATGAGTTCTCAGGTTTAAGAAGTCCTCTTTCCGTCTGTCTGTAGCGGCGGTGTGAGCAGAGAATGGACTGGTGTCCCCAGGAAGCTGTATAAGCCAGGTGCTAAGGAGCCCCGCTGTGTGTGTGTGAGAACCACTGGTCCCCCTAGTGACCAGATGCCAGACAGCCCGACACACAGAAATCGTGGGGACTTGGACCACCCACACTTGGCGGAATACACGGGCTGCCCACCTCTCGCCGTCACATGCTCCTTCCTGCTCTAAGCGGAGCCTTTCATGTTGCTGACACACAGAGCTCTGCTGAGAACTTGAGCAGGCCCTTGACACGCATGCGGCCTGGGATGGCCCCTGGCATGAAACAGGAGGATCTGGAAGGACTCTGGCTGTATTCTGCAAATGTGACTCTTGCCCTCACCTTGGCTCAGTGCTGTGGGACCCGAGGGACAGCCCAGCCACATGCCTAGTACTGGTCAGCGGCTCACCACGACTCCCCTCGACCCACTGGTCATCTTCCTCAGAGCCTGCAGATACCAGTGGGCCACGACTATTATCAACTGAATTTCAACTTGAATTTATACCCAAAAGCCTGCTGAGCTGATCATGGCTGGGCCAATACATTAAGAGGCAGTAATCACTTAGGATGGCTGATTCTGGAACTGGAAAAGCTTTTGCTCACATGGATACAGCACATCCAGATATCTCTGAGCAAAACAACAATTTAAAGCAGAGGCACTTTTTCTCCTTTAAGGACTTAAAATCAGGTGTGGTGTGTTTTCAAAGGCAGAGGTCTGCATTTTGAGCAAAAGGTAGTTTCCCAGCTCTGACAAGGTAACTGGTTAGCATGATATTAAACTTTGGACAAGGCCGCAGACTTCAGGTGGCTGGGCTTCCGCTCATCCAGTGTGTGTGTGTCCAGGGTCATCTGCAATGCCCTACACTTGACAGGCGTCACACCTGTTACCTCTTGACTGCCTACTAAGGTAGATGGGGGCAAGGCATGTTCCCACTTCACAGACAAGTGGAGGCCGGCATCACCGCCGTGCCATGGCCTCTGCTCATCACCCTCAGAGCTTTGCCTGACTCCCTTCCCATTTGCATTCTCACCCTAGACATCCTCTGCCCTTCCTCCCCTCTCCACTGCCTCCTTTCTGTCATTCATTTCACCAAATCACTTCCAGATTCACAGACTAGAAAATAGAGGCTGCCTCCTCCCCTTCACCAGAGACCCGCGGCTCACTGCCCTTGTGGTCACAGCTGTTCCTTCCACTTGGGATCTGGTTCATGGCTCCTTTCGTCTGCTCCCTCCCCACCTCCATCTTCCTCACGTACCCCTCTTGTACCTTTCCCCTCTCCCCGCCTCATGGATCTTCCCCAAGTATGCATGAAACCGCTCACTCCTCTCACATCATAAATACTCCCTCACCTCCACGGTTTGGGCTTTTACTTACTAGCTTTGCTTTTCAGCCCCAGTTGCTCTAACAATCAGGACAGATTCTGCGTTGACACATTCCATGGTCACATCCAGCTCCTACCTAAGCTTTGTCCTCCACAAGACCCTCACTGGCTTTTGTCCTGCTCCCTTTGTCCCTCCGCCCCTTCCTTCTTAGTTGCCTTGAGAACCTTGTTTTACCTCCACAAACCCCTTTCCATTGGCTTCTCTCCAAATCCAGCATGAAACCTGCATCTCTACCCCAGGCAGATTTCCAGAGTATTCCATCTTCCCTCCCATGCTGCTTTTAGTTCTCAGGGTGAGGGGCACCAGCAGCTACACTCATTGACACCAAGTCAGAATCCTAGCAGCTGCCCACACTCCGCCCTCCCTCCCTTCTAGACCGCCTGCAGGTCCTGGCGGCTGTGCCTCCCGGATTCTCTCCTCTCCCTTTCCTCTTACCTGTCCCCGGTACTCCTCCTCTGGCTTAGGCTGTCACTTCTCACTCGGGTTACTGAGAAGCCTGACTGCTCCCTCCCTTCATTCCCTCCTCCACACTGCTGTGACGTCCTTTTTTTTTTTTTTTTTTTGAGATGGAGTTTCGCTCTTTTCCCCAGCCTCGAGTGCAGTTGTGTGATCTCGGCTCACAAGGCCCAGGACCGTCTTTCTTAGTGGTGATCAGGGCATCCCCCATTTGCGCCTCCTCAGGGGCTCCCCTTATCTATAAGGACTCAGTGCCACTCCTCTGCTGTGGAGCACAGGAAGCCCTTCTGTGGCCTCTCCTCTTAGGCCTGTACCTTTCCCGTCTCCTCCCCGTGCACCTCTCCAGCCTCCGTCTCACTGCATTATGCCTGCAGTGTCTTCACACAAGCTGTTTCTTTTGCCTGGAACGACACATCTTCCTCCGTTGAATTAATCCACCCTGCATTTATTTCTTTAATATTCAGTTCATTCAGGCCCCTCTTGGAAGCCTTCATTAACTGTTGGCCTGGCACAGAGGCACTTTCCTTGGCTCCTACGGCACTGTGCTCATACCACAGTAGGCTCTTAACAATGAACTTCCAGCCAGCCTCTTGCACAGGACCTCAGACACTCTGAGGACAGAGCCCCAATGTGACTAAGCGCTGTACCCCTGTATCGACTTTACTCAGCACCGTACCCTATATCCCCGTGACTCAGCTCCAAGCCCCTGTATCGTGACTCAGTGCCTTACACCTATATGTGACTCAGCAATGTACCCCTATATCAGTGTGTGTCAGCTCCATACCCCTATATCAACAGTACTGGGCCCTCACACTATCCCTGCATTCCTACCGCAAGAACAGCCTCTGGCAGCTCTAATTGGGTTTCCACCAGACTGTACTCCCCCTGAGGTCAGGAGCCTTGATCCTCCAACCCCCCAACCTTAACATGATGCCTAGCACATAGTAGGTGCTTGGTAAGTTACCTGCTGAATAACTAAGGAGTACTAAATCGGGTAGACTCAGCTCCATACCCCTATATCCACATGACTCTGCAACATATCCCTATATCAGCGTAACTCAGTGCCGTACCCCTATGTCAACATGACTCAGCTCCATACACCTATATCTACGTAACTCTGCAATGTAGCCCTATATCAACATGACTCAGCGCTGTATCCCTATATATCCACTGCACCTAGCATGTGGAAAGTGTGTGCAGTGTTTTTTTTTTTTTGAGACAGGGTCTCATTTTGTTGCCCAGGCTAGAGTGCAGTGGCGTGATCATAGCTCATGCAGCCTCGACCTCCCTGCTCAAAAAGATTTCCCAACTTCAGCCTCCTAAGTAGTTGGGACTATGGGCATGTGCTAGCATGCCTAGCTAGTTTCTTTTTGTAGAGATGGAGTTTCACCAGGCTGGTCTCGAACTCCTGGGCTCAGTCTGCCCACCTCGGCCTCCCAAAGTGCTGGGATTACAGTTGTGAGCCAAGGAGCGTTTTGGCGATAAGACAACAAAGGTATGTAGAACTTAAGGTCACTGATCTGAGCTCAGAACTCTAAGCTCTTGGCACCAGATTCGGTGCCATTTTCACTCCTCTGTATTTCTGTACGTCTCTGCCTCCCTGGAGCAGGACCAGGAGCAGACAGAAAGGAGAAGAGCTGAAATTAGGATTTTCTTCTGAGTTTTAGGAAGTCCCTGAGCTCAGTGCTGAGATTTCTCTGTTAACCAAAATGGCCCCCAACTCTGGACTAACTGGAAACTAATCTGCCCCTGATTTAGTACTCCTTAATTATTCAGCAGGTAACTTACCAAGCACCTACTATGTGCCAGGCATCATGTTAAGATTGGGGGGGTTGGAGAAGCAAGGCTCCTTACCTTAGGGGGAGTAGTCTGGTGGTGGAATCAACCCTATTAGAGCTGCCAGAGGCTGTTGTTGTGGTAGGAATGCAGGGATAGTGTGAGGGCCCAGCCCCCAAAAGTTCTGATCCTTCAAAAAAATAAGCAAGGAGCATTAGTCATTCCAGCCAGGTGCACTCTGGCCGTGCCTAGAGGGCACCTATCTCTGATGCAAGACCCCCAAGTGCAGGCTCCAGGACAAACGTGGCCGGCTTCAGGGGCCTGCTCAGTGAGAACTGCTTTTTCATACTTACCTTATGGTACCTGTCATGAGCCATAATCGGCCAAGAGCACACTAAGTTCAGGCAGCTACTCACTGTGTAAAATAACTACTTTTGGTTAGCTAAGCCATGAGGACATAAGCCTAAGAATTATACAGTGGACTTTGGGGACTTGGGAAAGGGTTAGGGGGTGAGGGATAAAAGATGACAGTGTACAGTGCTCGGGTGATGGATGCACCAAAATCTCAGCCATCACCACGAAAGAACCTATTTCTGTAACCAAACACCACCTGAAACCCCAAAACTGACTGATATTTTAAAAAATTAATTAAAAATAAATACATAAAAGAGCTTTTTGGCTGCTGTCAACAGCATGTTCCTGAAAACTGCTGGAATTGGGACTTTCCTAGAGGGTGGCTCGTAAGAAATTCATTCATGTCAGGAGTTTTTTAAAATTTGTTTTAATTAGTACTTCTGCATTAGAAGTAACTACAAATATCTTATTAAAGTTTCCACTTTAAATGCACAATTTTACTTCATTTTATTATAAGGAATTGTTAGAGAAAATGCAAATATCAGTATTTGAAAAATACATTCCATTACACAGACCCCAAAGAAACAATGTTGATAAGCGCCATGGTCCTATGAGACACCGTCACCCCACACTGAGCACTGCCCCAAATGGGCTGGAAGCCTAGGTGACTGACCGAATGTGTGCCTGCAGTTTCTGCCCAGCTACAGCCCCTCCTCTGGGGTCACAGGGATGTCGTGGTAACAGCCAGCTCCGCACATCTGCCAAAAAGGGCAAGTCATCAAGTCAAGCAGTCACGACTCAAGACTCCCTAGCTGCAGAAAAGCAATGTTAGTTTTAACAGGTTACTATATTATTTATGCCACACAAAAAAGGAATTGCACAGGCAATGATCTTCCAAAGAAAGTTTTTAAGGCATCTGTAACTTCAGGGAATTTCAGGGTTGATATCTTGTCAGTCAGCTCTTTACTAAATTACTTCCACAGAGTGAGGAGGTGACTTCCGAGTCCTGCTGGCGAGCTGTGCCCCTGCTTCCTCTGCTCCCAGGCTGGGAGTGGGGAGCTTTGGTGCTTCAGCTAGTTCTGGGACTTGTCCCAAGGGAAGCATTGTCTGTCATGGAAGCGTGACCCTTACTTGTTCAAGCTGCTGTCACCTCGGAAGTTGACTTGACTTTCGGGGCTAAGCATTACATAGTTCAGAGAGTTCTTTTTCTCCAGATAAAAGAAAACTAGATGGAGGTGAAGGTCCTCCCTTTTCTCAAGATATTCCCTCCATTCCATGCCTATGGACAAGATTAGTGCAGTCGGGTCAATACGGTAGGTGTGGGACATGGACAGGGAGGAGTGGTGAAACCACACACATGCTGGGCTCCACACAGGGACGTGAGGGCACGGAACGGTGGCCAGAGATGACCCGGGGCTCTGAGGTAGAGGACTCAAGGTCACGTAGACCCCACTCCTTGGAGAGAACGTGGCAGGTGAACTAAGCAATCTAATCCAGCCGCAACTAAATTAGTATAGTAATTGGGGTTGACACAGCACATGTTCTAATACATCATTCAGTAAGACGCCACTAAAAAGATGACTGAACGTTCAAAGTCCTAAGTGTAGGCACTTAAGTTTATGGGAAATTTCGGTGTCAGAGGATCACAGCAACTTAGTTTAAGCCATTTGATTTATATATAGCACATGGTTTGTACCTTCATCTTAAAAACGACAACAAAAGACTTAAGAATATATTGGATAATAAATCTGGCGATGAGCAAGGGCAGTTCAAGAGTGAACTCAGCATGACAACATTGACTGTTGCAATAAATGATGTTTGAGTCAAGTTTCTTTTCCTGCTCATTCATTGAAGTGGGAACTTTCTGATTGAATTAAAATTAAGTTTTGGCTACTAGTGCTTAAGCTATGCTGAAAATTTAACAACAACCAGGCAGTTTTGTATTCAAGTGTTGGCAGCAGGAAGAGACGGGAAGGACTGGAAACATGCCTGGTCCCGGACAGGGCAGCTATGGTGGCGTCTGCGCAGTCAGGGGTCTTCCTAAGCTTTTCCTGTATCCACATGGATGCCCCTTGCAGCCAGTGTGTAATAGGACTAAAAGACATTCTGGCCGGGCGCGGTGGCTCAAGCCTATAATCCCAGCACTTTGGGAGGCTGAGGCAGGCAGATCATGAGGTCAAGAAATCGAGACCATCCTGGCCAACAGGGTGAAACCCTGTCTCTACTAAAAATACAAAAATTAGCTGGGTGTGATGGCATGCACCTGTTAGTCCCAACTACTCGGGAGGCTGAGGCAGGAGAATTGCTTGAACTCGGGAGGCGGAGATTGCAGTGAGCTGAGATTATGCCACTGAACTCCAGCCTGGCACCTAGCGACAAAGGGAGACTGTCTCAAAAAAAAAAAAAAAAAAAAAAAAATTCTCCCAGTCCACAGCTGCTCAGTACCATTGCTATCCCTGGATTCATGGAAGAAACAGAAACTCCAATCAACCTATTTGAAACATGATCTTAAGATTTTAAGTGCAATTACAGGCAAGATTGTTAATGAAATTGATAAGGTAGGGCATGGGCAGAACAATCAGCCTCACCCCTGACTGATCTCCAGATTCCTTTTCCATCATGAACATTTAAAGAACAGGTATCGATGTACCAGCCACTTCAATTCCTATCCAAACCATGATTATCTTCCTAACTCAGGTAACTAAGCTACCTAACCCTGCCTGCCGGCTTCCTTATGGCCCTTTTCAGGTAATAGAAAATGGAAACTGACCACATACCTCAGGTGGTCAAATGTTTGCCAAGACTGGCAACTCTCTATGAAACATGTCAAACTGAGGGACAGGGGACTCTTCTAATTAATTTTTTTCTTTTATACATTGTGCACAAGCTTATATTAACATAGAAAGCATATATATCTTATAAATCACAGAAATGTTTTTTAAAATAGCACTGCAGTTTATCAGCTCATTTTACACGTTTAGGCAACAGAATGTATAAATCTACAGCAACACAGAGAACATACCCAGAAAAGAAACAAATGACATTGCAAAACATATTTTTTCCCTTTAACACACATATGCAAACTTCATTAATGCAAAAAGGTAGTGGTTATTAAATGTCTGAGAGGATCAGTATGTATGACTGAGACTCAATCTCCGAGTATAACACACAGCGTTTACCTCAGAGTTGTTTTGTTTTAAAGCGGTGGTAGATGTTTCTCTTTAAATGTGCGTTTTTTAGAAACTGGCCAAACCTTCAAAAGAGAAGTTTAACACCTCATGGTTAATAGATGTACTAGCAGCGACTAAGACCCAGCAAGTTCTGGTGGCCTCATCCAGCACACAAGCCAGAGACTTCCAAAACGTGGTGGCGCACATGTGGCTGTGGCCACTCATGATGTGACTCACAGCATCATGAGGGAGGATTTCGGCAAGAAGCATTTGCGTCAAGGACACAGGACCTGCCAGCCTGAGGCTCCAGACGCCCCTGGGGCTGAAGCCATATTGATCCCCCCTCATCACTCAGCCTGGATGAATCTCTTGCTCTAAAAGACACTACAGAGTTTTTCCTTAAAGATTTGTGTGAGCTGAGGTCCCGTCAAAGCTGATCATTCAAATCACTGATGCAAGCATGTGTGAGGGTATTTCTGAATGTGGACTTTTAAATTGGGATCACTGATAATGCAGCTCTATAAAAGGGCAGCACAAAGTGCGCTTCCTCCACCACTCTCCAGGGGCAGAGGGACTAAGACTCCACACAGGACGCGGCAAGACGAGAGAATGAGACGCTGCCACGAGGTGTCAAGCAGCCAGCTGCACCCCTGACACCTGCATAGCACGAACACTGTAAAGCTTTCAGTTGGTAAGGCCACGATTTTTCAGCTCTCATCTTTGAACCCTGTTAAGAAAGATTTCACCTTTTTAAAAGGCGTAGCTCACCAAAAACACAGGTTAGCTTAAAAAGAAAAAAAGACTTTAGGGCAAGAGGATCCTATTATCTTTATGAAAACACTGTGCAGAAAAGTCCACAGCCACTTACCCTAGAGTAAAGCCCGCTTGTTAGGCAGCCAGCTTCCTACTCTGTAAGGCTCTGCTGCCTCAGCCAGCCCAGGCGGGAAGACTTCATGAATGCTCTGGGATGGACACCAAGCTACTGGAAGGGAAAACGCTTATCCAAGTTTCCTTGTATGTAGCTAGCAGAATGGGGAGGGGTCTAATTCCTAATCACATTAACAACTTAGGCTAAATGGCCTGGTCCAATCAGTGAGACGCCCAGTGAAATTGATCACAGTCTGACACACACACTGACAATCATATGGAATCACTGGAAAAGGGATCTATCACACCATGATCCTTAAATGTTCCAGTCTATTGCCTCAGGAGGATGACTGCCAGCTCCTGCTCTGTGGGCAGTCGGGCTGGTGAGCAGAGCAGCTGCTGGGGAGGTGACCAAGAACGTGGCCTGGACGCTCCGGGGGCTGACTAAGAGACCCCACCCAGAGTCAGCACATCAAAGCAAATGTTGCAAACTCGCACAGGTTTGTTCAGATCAAACTTGATGATAGGAATCTCCTTGGTCGAGCATTTATGGCAAAGAAGACGTCCGCAGTGACGACTGTGGAAGCAAAGAAAGGAAGTATGAGGGGAGCACTGAAGACACACCATCTCCCAGCATGTGAGGGCAACCCCCACAGGGGCACTGAGGCAACACCACCAGCCAAGTCACAGCAATTCATGGAGAATTTTTAGTCCATGAAAACAAAACTAGTCAGTCATCACGTTAAAGCAATACTAAAGGCGGCTTTCTTCTTTCCTTAAAGATCAAGAGCAGCTGAGGCTAAGCACAACGTTCACAACTGTCATCCCAGCACTTCGGAAGATGGGCGGATCACCTGAGGTCAGGAGTTTCAAGACCAGCCTGGCCAACACGGTGAAATCCCATCTCTACTAAAAATACGAAAATTAGTTGGGCATGGTGGTGCACACTTGAATTCCAGCTACTTCAGGAGGCTGAAGAAGGAGAATGGCTTGAACCCAGGAGGTAGAAACTGCAGCAAGCCAAGCTCATGCCACTCTACTCCAGCCTGGGTGACAGCAAGACTGTCAAAAACCAACAAAAAGAGAGCAGCTCAGCACTTTTTTTTTCTTGAGATGAACTCTCACCTGTCACCCAGGCTGGAGTCAGTGGCGTGAACTCAACTTACTGCAACCTCCTGCCTCAACCTCCCAAGTAGCTGGGATTACAAGTGCCTGCCACGACCCCCAGCTAATTTTTCTATTTTTAGTAGAGATGGGGTTTCGCCACATTGGCCAGGCTAGTCTTGAACTCCTGAACTTAACTGATCCACCCGCCTCCACCTCCCAAAGTGTTGGGATTACAGGCGTGAGCCATGGCGCCTGGCCTATCTATCTCATTTTGATGGGAAAAGCGCCTTGCTGTCAGAAGCAGCCCATACTGAAGCATACCATGAGGGCAGTAACTCATCTCAGCTTTGCTGCAGGCCGGAAGCCAGGGAGGATGGCACAGGCCTGATGGGCCACCTGGGAACTGTGCACCTTCAGCTTCCACAGGACAGCACCAGTCTGCAGGTCCCTGCCTTCCCTCCATCTCTTCCTCAGTCAGATCCTTGGGTGTGCTCATCTCATCACTCCATTTGGTCAAGTTTTGCCCATGAGTGTGCAGGCCCCGGGCAGGTTCATGGCTTATCCTGGAGAAGGGCGGGAGCAGTGACGTCGGCGCAAGTCCCCCTACCTGTCTGACAGTGACGCTGGGGTCTTACCAGTGGTGTTTGCGGGTCGTGACTCCAAACTTGGCAGTGCACTCATAGCAGAAGGAGCCGTCACACCATGGAGGCTCCTTGGACAGCATATCTGTAACACATGGAAGAGGACTAGTCCCATCAAACAGCGACTGCCAGGCAAGCCTCAGGGCTCAGAGGGAGCAGGGAAACAGACCAGCAAGTGAAGCCACACACTACCACGTGACATAGGCCAAGAGGCAAAAAGGTTCTAAGTGGTTCAGGGACAGCTTCCCAGAGGAGATGAGAATCAGCACTTGCCAGGGAGAATGGGGGAGAAGGAAACACGCCAATGAAGTGAACCAGCGTGGCGATTGTGGGGGAGGTGGCATGGTATCTGTGGGAACGCAGTGTGGTGTCTGTGTGAGGGAGGCGGCGTGGCATCTATGGTGAGGTGGCGTGTGTGTGTGGGAGACAGTGTGGCGTCTGAGGAGGTGGCGTGGCGTCTGGGGCAGATGGCGTGGCATCTGGTGAGGTGGTATGTGTGGGAGGCAGCGTGGCATCTGTGGGGAGGTGGCATGGTATCTGTGGGGAGGCAGTGTGGTGTCTGTGTGGGGGAGGCGGTGTGGCATCTATGGTGAGGTGGCATGGTGTGTGTGTGGGAGACGGCGTGGTGTCTGGGGAGGTGGTGTGGCATCTGGTGAGGTATGTGTGGGAGGCAGCGTGGCATCTGTGGGGAGGTGGCATGGTGTGTGTGTGGGAGGTGGCATGGCATCTGTGGGGAAGCGGCATGGCGTCTGTGTGGGGGAGGCGGTGTTGCATCTGTGGGGGAGGCAGCATGTCTGTGGGGGGAAGCACACGTAGTCGGGGATGGCTGGAACGAAGACATGGCAGGGGGAGAACGGAGATCACACAGCTAGAAAAACTGGCTAGGGCCACACGATGGGGAACAGAAGATGGGACTAAGAGAAACTGTGGAGGCAGGATCTGTAAGACTTAGTGCCTGCAGAAGTGTGGGATGTGACATGGAGCAGACAGAAGAAAAGGTGATGTCCAGGCTTCCAGGGAGAGGGCCTGAGTCTGCAGTAGGACCACAAGCCGAGTGACCTCTGAGGAAGAACTCAGTTTCCGTCTCAGCTGGGAGTTAGCAGTGTAACAGGAACGACCATCACTAGGATTTACTGGCTGAACTCTCACTCTATGCCAGGCACTGTGTGACTGCACTTCACAGAGAGGGCCCCGAGCGCGTGGGGAGGAAGCAGCGCGTCAATCAGTCGTTACTCCTGAGCACCGTGGTGCGTGTATGTAGCTGGTGCTGTGAGGGGCACCAGTGCGGAGCTCTGGAAAGGCCAAAGCAAAGTGACAGTATACAGATGTCACAAATGCTTCAACACCGGCTCTGCCACGGACCAGCTGTGCAGCTGTGGGCAAGTCACTCCACTGTGATCACATGGCCACCAAGTGTTTCTGAGCTTGTTCTCTCCTGTCTGTCTCTCCCCACGGTGGGTGACAACATAGCACAGGCACTGGAGGCATCTTGCTTCTCTACCACCTCAGCAGGGAGGAGGACAGACTCACAAATATGAGCTAGGAGTGAACACTCCTTTCCACAGAAGGGACGCTGGGAGGGGAGAGCTGGTGGGGCTGAAGCAGAAGCCATTCTGAAGGTTCTAAAGGATCTGAATCAGTCTCAGGAGGACAGGTGTGCAGCTAAGTGGCCAGGAGACACAGGAAGGGTGGCCTGCCTGGAGCTTGCGCACTCCCAGCAGGTTGTGGGGAGTGGGACATGAACAAGGCAGAGCGCTTTGAAGAGAGACTGGCAACAGTGACCTTCCCAATGCGCTCAAAACCCTTCACCCCATTCACAGGAAGAGTCCCATATACTGCCTGGAAACAGGTGGTTCTGACCTTAAGGCATCTTGAGATTTAAAGATCACAAATATATCTCGATAGTAGCACTGAAAGAGCAAACATAGGCCACTCACCTAAAAGTCGAAACAGAAGCTGCTTGGTGGCAACCTGGTAGTTGAAAATGTTGACTCCCTGGTTGTTATTCACCCCAAGACGAGCCCCAGATCGGACGATGGCGCGGCACAGGTTGGCATTCCCTTTCATGTATGCTAAGAGCAGCACTGGAAAACAAACACGTAGGGCTACTCCCCACCTGGCACGGCTGGCACCGACCATGGGAGGGCAGGAGACTGCTGGCAGGACATCTGCTCAGAAAGTCCCCACAGACACACAGGGGCCCCTGAGGCTCCGGGGAGACCTCTACAGACAAGCTGTAGCATCTCCCAAAAAAGGACATGGCCTTGAGCCCGAGATTCCAGAGCAGCTGGGGTTCCGAGACGCAGCCTTTCCCATGTAGAGCCTGGGCTGCAGGATAACCAAGGTAGGGCAGGTGGGTGGGGATTCAACACAAAACAACCATCCACTGTTGCCTCCCTTGCCTTCCTCTGGCAGGAAACACTGGTTTCCCCACAAAGGACAAAGTTCTTTCACCCAGTGTAATTAAATCTAAGCCTATGAGTTATGTACACGTGGAGAAGAAAAATCAGTATTAGGAACATGCTCCCAAAGGTTATTCCACTCCATGGAGCCTCTCCTCTGTGCAGGTACAGAGCCCATGGGAACCCATGCTCTGGTCAGGCCAACCTCCTGCCTTCCCTGTGAAGAGTCACAGCTGACTGCAGCTAACCTTTGCATCCCTTTCCCAGACACTGTGTGTACAGTCTTTCATTTAACTGAAAATTATACCATAAGAGGAGGGTTTTTATTCCCATTATCAAATGAGGAAACAGGCACATGAGGGGAGAACGTGTACCCAGTCACACTGCTAGAATCATGGGGCCTGGCATCTGAACCCAGCTGTGTGTAATTGGGAGGTCTAGATGCGACCCTCCCTGCCAGCCTGCTGACATGCTCCTGGGCAAGATGCTTACTCAGTAGGTGCTGGGTAGAGCAGCTCACTCCCAGGGCTGACTCCTCTGAAGCTCAGGCCCACCACTGCCAGCTTAAAAAACAACATTCACTTAGCAAGGCCAAGAACTCCTCTCAAGACCAAGATAAAATGCTGATAATATATGTGGTCCCACATTAAGGTTCACACAACCCATAGTGACTCCATTTCTGCCACGACCACGGAGGCTCTCTCTCCAGAACAGGGTGAGCTCAGGGAACTGAGTAGCCACACAGCTGCACAGGGGGTTCTGGGATCAGAGAAATCTAGTTTGGTTTTACTGGGTTATTCTTCCTTACCTGAAAAATGGGGATACAACTATGTGGGGCTGTCGAGAGCACTAAGCCAGAAAATGTATGAAAGAGTATGTCAGAAAAGCCAGGAGAGCCACGCGGATGGACATAGTGACCACGGGCGCCCAGAGCAAGCCGGAGAGGCCTGCGGCCCTCTCCCTAAGACGGCTCCCGTGGATCTAGGTGCAATTCGCCACTTTCTCAAGCATGTCAACACATACCATAGCACATTTCTTCCTTCTGAAGATTCTGTGAGGTTCTTCTATTTTCTTTGCTAAAATTTGGGAGCTTGGGTAGGGCCCTATTTGACTGGACAAAAGGCAAACGAGGGAAATGAAAGCAGGTCGACAGGCCTGTCTGGAGAAGGTACACATGGTCTCAGCACTGGATGCACTCGAGACATGATGATGCCTAAAAGCCGACGCTCCAATTCCACAGCAGGGCTTTGGAGCAGAGGCTCAGAGGGCCCGACAGAAATGCCCTGAGGCCATGACATGTGCCTGACTCCAGTTTTTCCAGGCACAAGGCCTGCAAGTGAGACAGGACACGCAAGATCTCGCTACATACCCGTGCTGCCCTCTGCATCTGGCTTATCTAGAGGGTACTCCGGCATGCATTCCAGGAAGAGCTCAAAGATGGCTGCTGCGTTCTCCTTGCCGTACTGTCCCAAGATGTGCAGCGGGGACTGGCCTCTGACGAAACATGTTGGAAAAGTTAGGAATCTGCCAGGCCATCACACACAAAATAAACAGAATTTTCTGAACTCTGGTGGATACATCTAAAGGCATGTAACAGGTCACAAAACTTTTTCTTTTTTATTTTACTGTAACCTAAGTAGATGTATAACAAAAGTTTTTTTTTTTTAGAAGCATTTTTTATTAAAACAAAAATACCAGTGCCAAAAGTTCCAAAATAAAGTACCCGAAGCTGGTGAGGTGCCCAGCGGCCAGTTCTGCAGCCCCTCCCTGGGGCTAATGGGAGGCACCGGCAGCCGGCAGCTCTGGTCACCGAGGGGCCTGCTCGGGTCCCACACGCTCACCTGAGGTTAAAGGCTTCGGCGTCCACTGTGCACTCTGTCAGGAGAACCCGGATGTTGTTGAGCCGGCCGTGCATGACAGCAAGATGAAGAGCTGGGAAGTAAATCCTCTTACTGTGCAAGCCCAGAAGCCCAGAAGCACAGGCAGAAAACTCTCCACCACTCCTCACCCTCACAGACCTCTCTGTCAATGGGACCCAGCCACAGCAGCCACTGGCCACGCACAGAGCCATCCTTTCTGCTCTTTACTGCCCTCAAGGATGGACCAAAAATGCAATCTCGTGACTGCTCTGTGCTGTGCTTTCTGCTTCAGCAGTTACCCAAAGGTGAAACTGAACAGTTTCCCAGGAAGGCAGTGTGGGCTTCTAGTCTCTCAACCAGATGGGGAGGCTCCACAAGGCCTGGACAGTGGAAGGCTGGATGCCCTACCCCAAGCACTCCCTGTCACCACTTTGCTCCTATAAAAGCCAACCCCCACACGGGGTAGCAGACCCAAGGGTGCACCGCACCCCCACCCTAGAATGGAGGGATAGTTCAAGGCACTCAGCACTATACACAGAGGAAGGACAGAGTTACCATTGTTTCCATTCTCATCCACCGCAGCAAAGTCCACTCCATTCTCTAGGAGGACTGAGCAGATGGTAGGCAGGTCCTGCTGGGCAGCAAGATGGAGGGCAGTCTGTCGATGCTTGGTTAATTCATTCACTTTGGCTCCTGCAAGAAGCTGTTGAAGTTCATTACATGAAGAGTCTCTCTACCACAATCAAGATCCCCTTTTTGGAGACCAAGCTGCTTGTCCTCTGACACCCACAGAGGCTGATGGCCTGCCTTGATGACAGAGCTGGGAGCATGAGGGCTTCACACATACTCCTGCTGAAGCACAAACCAGCAAAACCTGTGCCAAGGGCAAACTGGCAATTACCTGTCAGAATGTTAAACTGCCATTCCTTGGGACACAGAAACTACTTCTAAAGCTTTAGTATATAAAAACAATGCAGGACTGCAGTGATACTGACTGGACTATAGAAGGATGTCTACTGCTTATACTAGAAAAGCCTGATGGCAAAAGGGTTTGGTTGTAAAAATTATAAACAATAGAACATGTAGTAATTAAGATGATAAATATTTATCAATTAACATGGAAAGATGTTGATGACAAGTAAGTTTAAAAAACCTTGCAAATTAGAAGATGGTACAGTTCCATCTGGGGAAGACAGAGCTGTACACACAAGCATGCACACACATGCACTCGGAAGGTGTTTCACAGCATAAATGCCACACTCGGGAGAGCTGGGAGTCCAAAGGAGACACTGTCTGATTCATATCCTTATGTGCTTTGAGTTTTTCCACAATGAGTATGTTCTACTTCACTGTTGTTTTCTATGTATTTACTAATTTTTGAGACAGCAATTTGTTCTGTCACCCAGGCTGCAGTGCAGTGGCACCATCATAGCTCACTGCAACCTTCAACTCCTGGGCTTAGAGGACTGCCCCACCTCAGCCTCCTGAGTAGCTAGGACCACAGGCATGTGACCCTATACCTGGCTAGTTTTTTAAAAAAATGCTTGGTAGAGACAGGATCTTGCTACGTTGCCCAGGCTGGTGTCAAACTCCTGGCCTCAAGCAATCCTCCCACCTTGGCCTCCCAAAGTGCTGGGATTATAGGCATAAGCCACTGTATCCAGCCTGTTTTTTAAAAGAAAGAACACAAGCTGGGTGCAGTGGCTCAGGCCTGTAGTCCCAGCACTTTGGGAGACAGGCAGGCAGATTGCTTGAGCCCAGAGGTTCAAGACCAACCTGGGTAACATGGAAAAACTTCATCTCTACAAAAATTTAAAAATTAGCTGGGCATGATGGCATGCACCTGTAATCACAGCTACTCGGGAGGATGAAGTGGGAAGACTGAACCTGCAGTGAGCTGTGATCGGGTCACTGCACTCCAGCCTGGTCAACAGAGGGACACCATGTCTCAAAAAAGAAAGAAAAGGACACAAAGAATTACAGAATCAAAGGCAGAAGGGACCTTTAAATAATACCCCATCTATTCATTTAGTATTTGAAGTTCATCATCCTCTTTCTGACAAAGTTTAAAAAATAGTTGCTGTTAACAGAAAATTCCTGAGTTTGTAGTCAGAACCATTTGCTGCTCCTACGCTGTAAGGCCACCCTGCTTCCCCTGTGTGTACAGACACTGCCTGTGGGGAAATCTAGGCGCCGGTCAGCTGCTCTGGGTAGAACCCTGACTTCCAAGTCCCAGAACTCTGAGCACCCAGTCTATCACTGATGGATGGGACATGTGAGCGGATATGGGACACCTACATGGGACACATTACAGACATCTACTCACGGTCACTAGTGCTAAGTTGGGGATCATAACTAACTGCATAGTTGGTCAGCTGGGAGGAGTAAGAGGTGGGTAAAGTTAGCGGGAACAGGGTCAAGCATTATGCAGCGTCGATTCAAAGAGAAAAGAGCACACGGACACTGGAAGACCTGCTGCTTCCAGGTTTCTGGGGCTCCTCCCATCTGCCCTGTCAGGCCCTAGGAAGTCTGGAACCTAGATCAGGGACCGCAGACCTCCTTTGGCTCCACAGAGGCCTAAAGACGGATCAACACAAGGCCAACTCTCTTCTGCTTTAGGACCTCCATCTGCCTCCTGGGCTGCTCCCCCCACATCTGGTGTGTTCCCGGCACCATCAGACCGCCTCTCCTTATTCCTCAGTTCACACTCACTGCCTTGCTGCCCTCGGTCCCTTCACTGGTGAACCCGCCCACGCCTGTGTCCCTCTCTCCCCCAAGACACCTTCTTTAAATGCTGCCTCAGCTCAGACACACAGCAAGTCACAAATCCTTCTCTAAAAAGCGTTTTTCAGAAACAATGAAAACAAGGCGCCAAAAGCTGCGCAGGTGCCCTGGTAGCCAGTTATGCGGCAGTGGCCACCAGGGCACCTGCGCAGCTTTTGGTGCAGGCCAAGAGAAGCAGGCCAGATGAGAAGGCCCAGTCTCAGCTCGACCCTGTCCTCTCAGCTCAAACACTTACAGTGGTTTCTCCGCGGTCTAAAGGATAAGGGCTGCTCACGGTTCTCGGTTTGAAACCTGACGCCCCACGATCTGTTTGCTGCCTGCCTCTCTAACCACATCTCTTTCAACTCTACTATAATTTCAACCAAACTTCCCTACTTAAAACATGCCACATGCACTTCCCAATCTCCACATCTTTGCTGAGACACTTCCCCTGCCTGGTGGTATTATGTTATACTGTAAAAAGCAGGCTTTGGAGTCCAATAGAAAAGGCTAAAATCCAACACTACCAGCTCAGCCTTGGGGGTAAAATTCTTAGTCTAAGTTTTCTCCTTTATAAAACGGGAAACATGTCTCATACCCCGCTGTGGTTTTGAAAATTAAGAGACAGCTCCCTTCAGAGTCCCAGTTGAATGCCTGACGGAGAAGAGCAGCGGCCCTCCACTTCCTCTGTGCTCCCACCCCACCTCTGCCATCCCAATCCTGCTTTCTGTCAGGGCCAATCCAGTGCCTACAGCCTATGCAGCCCAATGGGGCACACAGGACATGCAGCCTTGACACACCGTCTTCCAAGTGCACTGGCCTCATTCCCCAAATTCACACTGGCCTTTCACCACCCCTGACAAAGCACCTGTGGGGAGGTTCTGCACAAGCTCTGCAACAGGCTTTGACAACATATTACATACGATAATATTTCTGTGTCACTTACCAAATTGCGGACAATAATTTCTGAGCCTGCTTGGACAGAAAGATGCAAGGGAGTCAACTTGGAAGCATCCTGGACTCTTGAATTCACATTAGCGTGGACACTGATCAGGAAAAGCACACTTTCAATATCAGAGTTCTGAACTGCCACATGAAGGAAATTCCGGCCCTTATTATCCACCTACAGCAACAAGTGGAAACCAAAACATTAGTTCCCTTTTAAGAGTACATCCTGAGGTTCATCTGCAAGCTATACTGACCACTGTAGAGGTCATGGCGTAGACCTTCTCTCAGGCCTAGGAAACTCCCTCCCACAACCCACCCAGAGACCTGCTCCACCACTGTGTACAGAACACGCATGCGTGACCACACTCACATGCTCAGGGGAGGGACCTGCTTCACCTCTGTGCACAGAACACACGTGCGTGACCACATCCACACCGTCAGAGGAAGGACCTGCTCCACATCTCTGTGCACAGAACATACGTGCATGACCACACCTACATGGTCAGGGGAGGGACCCGCTCCACCTCTGTGCACAGAACACACGTGTGACCACACCCACATAGGGGAAGGACCTGCTCCACCTCCGTGCACAGAACACACGTGTGACCACACCCACATAGGGGAAGGACCCGCTCCACATGTCTATGCACAGAACACGCATGTGTGACCACACCCACACGGTCAGGGGAAGGACCCGCTCCACATCTCTATGCAGAGAACATGTGTGCATGACCACACCCAAATGGTCAGGGGAAGGACCCGCTCCACATCTCTGCACAGAACACACATGCGTGGCCACACCCACAAGGTCAGGGGAGGGATCAGCTCCACATCTCTGTGCACAGAACACACGTGCATGGCCACACCCACATGGTCAGGGGAAGGACCCGCTCCACATCTCTGTGCACAGAACACGTGTGCATGACCACACCCACATGGTCAGGGGAAGGACCCGCTCCAAACTTGTATGCACAGAACATGTGTGGATGACCACACCCACATGGTCGGGGAAAGGACCCGCTCCACATCTAGGTGCACAGAACACGCGTGCATGACCACACCCACACAGTCAGGGGAAGGGAGCCGATGCAGTGACCCACGGTGCCCTGGCGGCCTCCTGTAGTAGAAACTGGATGTGGAAAGCCAAGGAAAAGACAATCTGAAGGACAGGGAAATGAAGGCACCATGATATCAGGAACTCATGGAGAGGCAAAGATGGGAGACAAACCTTGGGAGGCTCTTTGCTTTGGGTATAACAAGAACCCAGCATCCTAATGCCCCAGCTGCACTGCTAGCCTGAGCCCTAAGCGGTCAAACCAAGGCCTCAGAAATGCTGAATGTCCTCTTTTACTCAGCTACAGACTATACATGATGGGGAGGGAGCCAACAGCAGGTCATGGACTTTGCTCCACTGATGTAAAGCAGCGGAGCTCAAGGAAATCAAGCCACACAGTACACTGTAGTTCCAAGAGCTGTCTTAGCTTGAGTGCTGAGGCAGCAGTGAGGGAGGCCCCAATGCCACACACATGGCACACCACCGCACACGGCCACGCACCCATGGCACACACCGGTCTCATAGGCAATGCTCTCACAGGCAATGCCACACAGGCAGCACACCACCACACACGGCCACACACCCACGGCACACGCCGTTCTCATGAGCAATGCCACACACATGGCACACCACTGCACACGGCCACACACCCACGGCACACGCCAGTCTCAAGAGCAATGCCACACACACAGCACACCACTGCACGTGGCCACACACCCACAGCACACACTGGTCTCGAGCAATGCCACACACACGGCACACCACCGCACATGGCCACACACCCATGGCACACACCAGTATGAGCAATGCCACACGGCACGCCACCGCACATGGCCCCACACCCATGGCACACGCCAGTCTCATAAGGAATGCCACCACACACCCACGGCACACGCCAGTATGAGCAATGCCACACACGGCACACCACCGCACACGGCCACACACCCATGGCACACCCCAGTCTCATAGGGAATGCCACACACATGGCACACCACCGCACACGGCCATGTACCCACGGCACACGCCAGTCTCATGAGCAATGCCACACACATGGCACACCACCACATACGGCCACACACCCACGGCACACACCGGTCTCATAAGCAATGGATCTACAGAGTGCTCTGATCAACAGTACAGTTTCACACTGGAGAGAAGACCCGTGAGACAACTAGCCCTACTCACGGCCATTTCACACCATCTGAGCCAATGCAAGATCAACACCTACACCATCCAGTCACACTTGTGAAATGCTGAAGACACATGGTATGAGAACCCTAAGATACCAAGCCATCATCTCCACCCACCAAGAATTCCATTTCATCCAGGTCCCAAGTGTCCATCTCACCGTCATGAACAGACATTTCTAAATCCTGGCAGTATGCTAAGTGTTGGCTGGAGATGAGGTTTCTGTCGAACTGACTTTGTACCCGCCCCCGCCCCCACCTCATATCAGCTGTTGAGGCCATTTCCCACCCAGATGGTTGCTGCAGATCAAGAGTTCACCTTCCAGGTTTCGCAGCTGGTAAAGAGCCACAAAGAACAAGGCCAGCCCAGCTTGCTAGCAGAATCACTGACCTCCTCCCAAACAGTCCACGTTGCCCCAACAGCACAGCACAAGCTCTCTGAGTTCATTTCAGAGCTTTTAAAGACATTCTTTATAAAGACAGTTAACCAATCTAGCAACAGCAAAGAATGTGCTCTCGGCAGAGAATGAGCCCAGAATTCCTACCGTGGAGCCCACTGGCTCCACCTCCTTCTAAGCCTGGCGTCGTCCGGCGCTGACGAACAGGGCAGAGCAGCCAGACCTCACCCTGCACTAACGGGACACTCGACAGCTACAATTGAGGAAAGGGAGAACAATTTCAAAGCAAAGCCCTTTCCACGAAGAGACCTGTTCAGTCGGTGACATCTGTGTAGTCTCCAGGTTCTGTGGGGCCCAGGACAAGGCGGAGAATGCTGGGTGTTACTCACGCACCTGCTCAGCAGCCCCGGACTCTCGTTTGAGAATGGCCTCGGCTGCCTTGTTGTTCTTGTAAGTCATGGCACAGGCAAACGGGGTCAGCCCTTGTCTGTCTCGGACGTTCAGATGGATATCGGGGTGAGAGATCAACAACTGAATGATGGTGCTGTGCTGGTTGCTGATGGCCACGTGGATGGGTGTTCTTCCTTCCGCATCCTGGGGAGACAAGGCACAGATCTCATGTTCAATTGCAAGATAAAACTCAGGAAAAATATGAGGGGGTAAAACTTCTAAGTGAAATTTCAGTTCACAAGAATCAATCAATACTACCACCCTGTGCTTGACCCAGCTTTTAAAGAGGCCAAATAGAAATACCGAAAGTCACTTCCTGTTACAGCATGTTCCAGTGACCTGGTGGTGGCTGCAGGCCCAGCACAAACAATGTGCTTTAGATCCACAGCAAGTCTCTGCTCTAAGCTGCCACCCTCATCTGGCCACAGGGCCTTATATATCAATCTTCACAGGCTAGAATGTTGAAAGGCATCAAAGGGCACAACTCAGGGTTATTCAAGTGAGTTACTGGGACATTTTCCTAAATACAATACTCAATTTGTGACTAAACTCTCAATGGAAATCTATGACTAAGGCGGAAGAGAAGGCAAAGAGAAATAGCTGAACCCAAGCTTCCTCCTGCTGGAGAAGGGATGAAGGCACAGAAAAGACGTCACCCTGCAATCGTGAACACTGCTAGGGAGGATGTAAGTAATGCAGCCCTGTTCATAAAGAAGTGGGGCCTGGGCTGGGAAGTGCAAGGTCCCTTGCCCTAAGAGGAGGTTTCCCTCATGCTGGGGCTACTATCTCTCTTCCTGGAAAAGAGAAATGACATACCTGCGCATTCACATTGGCACCAAACTCCAGAAGACACTGGACTGTCTCTTCCAGCCCCCAAGAGGCTGCCAGATGCAAAGGGGTCTGTCCATCTCTAGCCTCTTCCTCGCCTTCTCCATTAGCACCTGGTTGCCTGGGACTGTTCAAGTCACAGCCACTGAAAGCAATGGGGAAGGTGTTTAGAAAGGCTGTGCTTCGATCTAGCCTGTAGCATCCTGCTGAATGTGAAGCAGGAGGCTCCTCCAGTCCCACAGGCTCTGCTATGCAGGGTCTGCCGTCCTCAGTCCCTCACCTCAGTTGGGCTCCCACCCCCATAGACTGTTCTGTGACTGGCCTTGGGGGTGGGCAACCTGAGCATCAGAACACTTAAAAACTCCCCAGGGGAAGGTACACGTGTGTGTGTGTGTGTGTGTGTGTGTGTGTGTGTGTGTGTATATATCATATATATTACATACATTACTGGCTCCACAGTCTGAACTGGTCTGTCATGACTGCAGGAGCCCAGGCAGCTCCCAAAGCGGGATGCTGACTTAAACGTTCAGATTCTTTGATCCAAGCCTGTGAGCTCCTACCCTCACAATTGAGCCTGGCTCCTGGCTGACCTGACATGACAGAACAGTGACCCTGTGACACCCTTAATTGTGAAAGTAAAGCCAGCTACTGGCATGCCAAGACTGTAGGCAAATTTAGAAAGGAAAAGAGCCAGTTTGCAATAAGCTCACTCAACAGATTTCAAGAGAGAGTGGGGCCCCTCAGACCTGCGGATAAGAAAGCAGGCAGTGGGCTCGTTGTTTTCGTCAATGGCTCTATGCAGGAGCGTCTGGAGGCAGCCACCAGGTCCGGGGCCCCAGCATGTGGCATCACAACCATGTCTGACCTGCAGAAAAACACAGGTTATCATAAACACTGCTGAGCAAAGGCAAATATTTTTATTACCAAGTCTTACCTCTATGTATAACATTTAATCCATTTTCAGGTAAGTTACGGGTGATAATTAAATGATAATTACTTTATTTGTATCACTCATTAGTTTTACAAACACGAATTAAAATTTGCTGTGTGCAAGTTCTTTCTTGCACTAGGTCCTGTGGGATAGATTTGGGAAGCATAAACAAGAATGTTTAATTCATGTCCTTTTTAGAGCTATGTCCTAGAAGGGACAGAAAACACAGTGTCTGTGTTCACATGCACCAACAGGTCCTCGGCAACACACACCTGTCATTAACAGGTCATCTCAATGTCTGGGTTAACCCTCCAGTGCACGATGCCTTCATATCACACTGCAGACCCTTCAAGGAGCTAAATGGGAACCTGCAGGCTTACCTCCATTTTTGGGGCCTGTCTTGCAAACTAGGGAGATAAAGCTAAGACTGGGGAAATGATCACTATGGTGAGAATGAGGAGAGCCCACACATGAGATCAGTAACCCCAAGAGAAGGCTCCTGAGGAAAGGCCGCCCTTCTCTTGCTTCTCGGTAGTTTTCTTGGTAAAGACAGCCTACAAACAAAAGTGCTGACCAAGATCACATTGAACTGAAAGTTTCTTTAACGTGACTGTCAACTGCCTGTCCTTGTCCCACTTTGTTACTTGGCAGGTCTCTCACTCCTATGACAGCTACAGAGGCACCAGATCCATCTGACACAATCTGTGCCCATCTGTAAGCAGAGGCTAATGCTGTGCTTCTCTCACCAGAGTGGACGCGATGTCCTCCAGGTTGTTTGCCAATGCAAGCCACAGCGGGGGGTTCCCCTTCTCATCTGGCACAGACATGTCAGCTCCTCGGGTGCATATCGCATCGACTACGAGTGGAAGCTGGTTTCTGATGGCCAGCTGGAGGGCTGTCTCTCCGTCCTGAGTCCTGTTGGGACAGGCACGCCCAAACCAATATTTCTAACTGGAGCAAAAGGACAGAAGGTGCCCTTCTGGGCATTCCAGAGCCCAGAATCTTCTGCACCCCTAATCATACTTACTCACATTCATTAAACATTTTCTCAGGGAAACTAAATGTGACAATAGTGTCTGTCCCTTCTGCCTTTTTAGAAAACATAACCATGTCACCTTATTGCCCCTCCAAGATAACTAAATTCCAGCATGTTGAAATCTTACAGAAATACTTTTTGTGGCATCTTAATAAAATGCCACCCCAAGAACCCACTTGACAAAACCCTTCTTTCCCTCACTCATTCACTCACTTGGAGATAAGTTCTTCTGAAAATACAACCGCAACAAAAATGTGACTCGTCTTTTTCCCTCTCAAGCCTTGTTGATAGCTCATTTGTTGGAACATTCTTTGTTGTAACTGAAATTCCTTGTTAAAAACTGACTTTAGGGTGGTGGATCACCTGGGGTCAGGAGTTCGAGACCAGCCTGGCCAACATGGTGAAACCCCATCTCTACTAAAAATACAAAAATTAGCCAGCTGTGGTGGTGTGTGCCTGTAATCCCAGCTACTTGGGAGGCTGAGGCATGAGAATCACTTGAATTCAGAAGGCAGAGGCTGTAGTGAGCCGAGATTGTGCCACTGCACTCCAGCCTGGGCAACAGAGTGAGATCCTGCCTCGGAAAAAAAACCTGATTTTAGATTGTGTTTCACAATGAGACTTGTGCAATATTGTGCACTGGTCCTGAAAGGTTCAGAGAAGAGCAACGTACAGTTCCTTTTCTCCACTACAATCAGGTCTCTTGATGCTGTTCATTAACAACACCACCCGTGTATTTTTAGAGCCACTGTTTTCCTTCCTTTATTTAATATGAAACAAAAACACTTTTCTACAAGCAAGGTTATGCTCGTGACCCACCTTGATTAGATGTTACTGGTGTTACACTGGGAAGTGCTGCTTCACCCTACCTGACATTGATATCTGCCTGGTGCTCCAGGAGGAAGAGGGCGCTCTTGCTGTCCTGCCGCTGTATGGCCATGTGCAGCAGGGTCTGCCCATCCGACATGGTGTCATTGATGGAGGCCCCTGACCCCAGCAGCTGGGCTGCGATCGTGTGCATGCCTGGGAAAACAGCAAGCCCCAATTAATGGCGCTCAACATCTCCTGCTTCCTCTGCATCCTGCAGCAACACACACCCTCTCAACTTCTCAAAGCCAGCACTTTTGACTGGACATAACAGGCTTCACTCTAACAGAAAGGTCACTTCACAACCAAACGATTAGCCCTCTCTCCTCTTGCTTGCTCTCTCACCCACCCACCCACGCATCGGATGGCTGTCCACCTACAGACATCCACAGCCCTGGCACAGCCTTACCAGTCCACAATGCCAGGCCCAGGACGGTCTGGTCTCGGGAATCTTTGAGGCTGAAGTCCGGAATAATCTGCAAGTTGTTGGTGGCATGAAGAGCATTGGCTGCATTTTTTAGAAAGGAAAAGAACGTATGATTTCACCACCCATGGATCACATTTAGAGCATTCAGGAGAGTAAGAACTGAGTTTGAAACTGACTGATAGGCTATAATACGATCAACGCTATAAAAAGAGAGTAGATCAATCTTGTCAGGAGTCAAAGCCCAGAAATCTGATATTTTAAGAGTACACCTTATGGGGAAAAGCAATCTTTGTAAAGCTTGAAACACTGACTCTTCACCTAAGGAGAACGGAATCCAGTATGGAAACACACACTAACCACCTGCTGACTGAAGACAAGATGAAAGAATGTCCTGACGGGGTTTCCTAATACACAAGTCCTACAATCATAAAACTTCTGTGAAGACCAAAAAAGGGCACATACCACCTAAAACCCAGCCTTCCTCCAGAAGCACAAGGCTAAGAAACACTGTCCTTAACAAGGATTGAGGCAAGAGCAAAACCAACCTCAGGAAGGGAAAGAAGGTGCGAGGAAGATCTGAGGGAAAGGGGGCTTCTGTACCGCAGGGGCCAAGGGCAGTCTGGCTCCTCTCTCATGGGGTGCCTGCCACAGCAGAGTTCTCAAAGACAGTGCTCACGCCAAGGCAAGGCTTTACTTGACCTACCCAACCTCAAGTGATCCGCTCGCCTTGGAGAAATACTCAGTAAGAGAGACAGCAGAACTGGCTGGGCATGGTGGCTCAAGCCTGTAATCCCAGCACTTTGGGAGGCCAAGGCGCGTGGATCACGAGGTCAAGAGATCGAGACCATCCTGGTCAACATGGTAAAACCCCATCTTACTAAAAATACAAAAAATTAGCCAGGCATGGTGGTGAGTGCCTGTAATCCCAGCTACTCAGGAGGCTGAGGCAGGATAATTGCCTGAACCCAGGAGGCAGAGGTTGTGGTGAGCCAAGATCGCGCCATTGCACTCCAGCCTGGGCAACAAGAGCGAAACTCCGTCCAAAAAAGAGAGAGAGAGAGACGGCAGAATTAAAGGTTCTAACACCTTAACCTAACAGGTGAAATGGGCAGGCCCCATCCTGAAAACATACAGCAGTCAAGAGCAAGACTAAAAGCTTCTCTAATTTGACCTGAAAGGACTTCTGGGGGAAAGAAACTAGCTATACGAAACTCACCAACAGAAGAAACATCAACTCTATCTATCCTAAACTGTTGTCCACAAGTCAAATGAGGGACAGTATTCCCACCAACTTACCTTTCTGCTCCAGGATGACAGACACCACATCTGGATGATTATAGGCGATCGCCATGTGCAGTGGTGTCTGCAGATAGACGCTGTCCGCCATGCTGGTAGGGGATGCAGCCTCCTTTGGCAAAGGCAGAGCCTCCTCCGTTTGCAGGTTTGGGTTGGCGCCTTGCTGCAGGAGCTCTGCAGTGAGGTTGGCCAGGCCGTGCCGGCACGCCGTGTGCAGCGGCGTTTCTCCCTGAATGGAAACAAATGGCCCAGATCTGAGCACTCACAGGCCAGGAATTCCCTTTGCAGAGGCACGACAGCTAAGCATGCAAACTCCGGTCCTTGGCCCATCCTGTCGCCAGCTGACCCTCATGACTTTTGTTCTCTTTCTCCTGAGCCATCACTCTTCGTATCTTCTTTTTCATGTATTTTTGAGGCGGAGTCTCACTGTGTTGCCCAGGCTGCACTCAAACTCCTAGGCTTAAGCAATCCTCTTGCCTCAGGCTCCCAAACAGCTGGAGTTAAAGGCATGAGGCACTGCAACTGGTTCTACCCTTAAGTTTCTTCAGCGTCTTCCCCCAGCACCTTCAGAAAGGACTGGCTTCTTGACTTCACCTCTGAGGGCCTCCTTAACCACCCTTCACTTTGTTTTATAATTCTTTATTTAATTATAAAAATAATAAATGCTTATTATGACAAAACAATAACAAGCTACAAGTGTCACCAAAATAAACACTGCAACTAGTGGGAGAGCGGGGGCAAGAGCCCGGTGACGAGCAGTGTTGGCATTGTAACCCTTGCTCCTTTTCACCTCCCCACTTGCACTCTGTTTTCCTTCACCTGCTCATATCAACCTCATCTTGAACTCTGATCAAGTCCTCCTGCCCCTATTTTAAAAGTTCAAAATACTCCTGATGCAATATTTTAAAAGTTTCCTCTCACATCTGGAACCATTATTAGCAGTTTCATGTTTCTCTCCAATGACAGAATATTCACAGGAATATGTATGTACGCATACACTTATGCACTTAGGTGTGTATATGTGTATGTTTGTATGTACACACACACACACACACATTTTTTTTTTCACCCAAACAGATGGGAATGACCTCAACACCCGGCTCTGCTTCACAAGGTGCCTGCTCTCATCAGAGTTACATGCCCTCATCACTTAAAGGCGTGTTGTAAAACCCAGCAAGATCCCTGGCAGTGATGTTTGCAAATAACTGATCACAACCAGTTCTAGACTGCTTCGTTCCTTCACTCCCACCACTTCACTTGACTAGCCTAAACAAACAAACAAGATCCTATCTCCTCCCTTTCCCTCAAAAGTTATCCTTTCTCACCAGGAATCACTTTTAACTCTTCCAGCTGAGTTTTGTAAATCTCCATATTTCTTTTTTTTTTTTTTTGAGACAGAGTTTGGCTCTTGTTCCCCAGGCTGGAGTGCAATGGCACGATCTCGGCTCACTGCAACCTCCACCTCCTGGGTTCAAGCAATTCTCCTGCCTCAGCCTCCCAGGTTGCTGGGATTTCAGACATGAGCCACTACACCCAGCTAATTTTTGTATTTTTAGTAGAGACGGGGTTTCACCATGTTGGCCAGGCTGGTCTTAAACTCCTGACCTCATGATCCCCCTGCCACGGCCTCCCAAGTGCTGGGATTACAGGCGTGAGCCACCACACCTGGCCTAAATCTCCATATTTCTAATGTGTTTTTATTGCTGCCTCTTCATTTTCCAGCTTTGAACATTACCTGTGTGACTTGCCACCATGGCAGGTAAGAATTGAGTGCTTTCACGCCTCGAGCCCCAGTGCATGCTTCCCATCCCAAGTCCTCCCCATACAGGGGTGCTGTAACTGGTGTGAGCCCTCCCAGGTATTTCTTCCTCCTCCTCTTCCCCTCCTGCTCAGGGCTGTCTTCTGTTCCAGACCCTTCCTCCTATGCATTCTCACTGGGTGTGGTGATCTACCCCATGGCTTCTGCCTGGGACTCTCAACAGGTTTCCAGCCCCATTTCTGCATCTGATTTTTCCCACTGCCTATTAGACATCCCTACCTAAATGTTTAGAAATTCAAAATTACAATGGAATTTATTCCCCCACACAGGTTCCTCCTCCTGGCCAGTTTCCTCTCTTCTTTCACACGTTCATCACAACTACCGTTTTTGAAAATTCCCATTTCAATGTCTCTGGGGTGCAGGTGGTTTCTGGTTCCATGGATGAGTTCTGCAGTGGTGATTTCTGAGATTTCAGTGCATCTGTCACCTGAGCACTGTACACTGTACCTGGTGTGTAGTCTTTTCTTCCCATCCCCTCCCAACCTTCCCCTCTGAGTTCCCAAATTCCCTTACGTCATTCTTGGACCACAACAGGTTTTTTGTTTTTTTTTTTGCTAAATCTTAAGAATTTTTAATTTTATATATCTGTACAATATATATACGTTTTTACATATAGACATATTAAAAATTCACATACACAGCACCCCATCCCTCCCCTTACCCCACCACTACATACCCTGGTTGAATTTTTCCCAAGCTTCTGTCTATTTAGGGATGGCTCTTCCTTCAGCCTTACCATTGCCTGAGTCATAGTCTCAGGCAATGGTAAGGCTGAAGGAAGAGCCATCCCTAAATAGACCTTCTCCAAGTCCCCCACACTTAAATTTGATTTAAACCAAGTTGAGGTTTAGATTAGAAAGGAGGAGAGTTTTTGTTATCAAAGCTTTATATTAAAATACATTGACCTCAATTTCTGTTGTATATTAGTTTCTATAAATGGACAGAGAAGTTTCGTTTTTCAAGATGGTTTTGATTTTTCATGTTTTTTTCTGAATACACTCTTGTCTAAAGGTTAGTTTGCTCTTAAAGAGTGTATTGCTTTTATTTATCTTAGAAAGCTGTAAATTTACCATTTCATATATTTTCCTTAAGAAAAATTAGCTTTTACGAACTTTTGGGCTCCTTGAACCTTCATTCTTCCCCTCTTGGGAAACAGCAGAAAAACTAGGAGTTTTCCTTTGTTTATTCAGATACAGCCTGGATCCACTCCCTCAAGGTGATTTAGGACCCAGCCCTCTGTTACTTCTTTTGTCTTCCCTAAGAATCTTTCCTCACTGGTTTCACATTCTGACCATTCTAAGTTGAAGTAGCAGAATGATTAATGGTGAAAATATCTTGTTTTTTTTTCCCAAGATGAGTTTAAAGGGCAAATTAAAAAAAAAAAAAGAGGATACTCCTCTTTTAGGAGCATAAAAAGAATAGCGTAATATACCATTAAATATTCCTTTATATTCTTCTTTTGAAAAAACTTGATCATAATCTATAGTGATCCTTTTATTATATGTTTTTAAGTGTACTGCCCTTGACTGAAACTACCAAATAGTTTGTTTCAGAATTATTATAATAGCTTCCATTTATTTAGCTTTATACTGTAGAGAGGCACTGTTCTAGATACTTTACTTAAACAATTCCTAATCATCACCACAAACTTGCAAAATAGGAAATCATTAGTTTTATTTCATATGAGAAAACTGGGATCAGAGAAGTTAAGTAACTTGCTCAAGGTCATCCACAGTCACGATAAAGTATCTGATTTTTTTCCTATGGTATTTGTCCTATTGGTTAGAAACATTTAAAAAAAATTGTTTTGCCCCCATCACTTAGGATGTAATTTTACATGACATATAGTTTTCCAGTTTTAATCACTGGAGTTTATTTTTCAGTTTATATTGTGATAGCAGATTCTATTTTCAGAGAACCTCTAATGGAAATTTATTCTTTAGGAAGATTGCTCAATGTTTTTCAAAATTCTTTGGCTTTTAAAATATTTGTCTTTTATTAAGACAAATCCAGATTAGACACATTTTTGGGTGAGGGTAATTTTGTATATAAATTTGATTAGCAAAAGTTAATACAAATATGTCTAAGTTTATTTCCATGCTTAGAGGATTGTTTGGTTGAGTTTTAATGCATTTAATAGTTCACTTCTCTATATAGAATACATATGTTCACACACTAATATAGGTATGTACAAACTAATAGCAGTAGCAAAGCTTATATAATTTGTGAGCATGTATTTTAGAAGAAATTGTCCTGTTCTTTTCTTTTTATAAGGTGTACATACCCTTATATCAGGATGGAACTGATGCCCAGGCTACTGTCTACTGGAGTTTGAAGCCCTCTGGCTTTAATTCAAAATCAGTGACCGCAGATGATATAGGTCCCTTTAATGGTTCTGTTTTGTTTTTATCTGGACAAAGTGACACAACAATCAACATTACTGTCAAAGGTGATGACATACCGGAAATGAATGAAACGGTGACACTTTCTCTAGACAGGTAATTACCTATTTAGGTAATATTCAGTAGCATGTATGTTTGAGTTCTCTTCAATAACTTTGACTTTCTTATATAAAGTTAAAAAAAAGCAAATAGGATCATATTGGCCTTCAGACTTTTTTGTTATTTACTGATGGCTTCTGATTAGACTATGAGTGTAATTATATCATTCAGTGAATTTTTACCCTTCTATTTCTTGTGAAGAAGCACTACAGAGAGAATTGATGGAAGGTATCACATAAATATGAAATGTAGCTAATATTTTGTTATATTAAAAGAAAAAGCCCCAGCAAATCTAAAATGTTAGGTTAAGCAAACAGTTCCACTGGCTTTAGGCTCAACAGAAAAGAAGATTAGAGCTTGGGAGTAAAAAGAAAACATTAATCTTCATATAATGAAATTCTCTTTTTTACACAGAACTTAAACATTAATTTTATGACCATCTTCTAAAGAATCAAAAATTGCACAAATTTAAGAGGTATCTTTTTAGTAATAAAAAAAATTGACTTAGCACTTCTCAGTGGGTAATTTATATTAAGAAAATTTCACAATCTCTCATAAACAGCTTTTTTTCCCAGTAATTCAGAAAATTCTCTATAAATACATAAAATACGGTGTTTAATGATTTAGAGAAATCAGAATCAGTCTTCTCTCTAACACAAGTCTCTATATGAAAATTTATTCATATTAGAGAAGGTTACTGTGACTTGAGGGTTTTGTGCAATTCATGTTTAGAAACAATAAAATTCACAGATAAATCTAAGGAACATTTTGTGTTGTATTATTCAGGACTAAAGTAGTAAAAGTTATTTTATATAATCCCTGGATCTCTCTATATCACCATCTTTTAGGTTTTTCTTTGTAGGCGTTTTGTCTAAACACATTTATTTTTATTATTTTTTTTAATTGCATTTTAGGTTTTGAGGTACATGTGCAGAACATGCAAGATAGTTGCATAGGTACACACATGGCAGTGTGTTTTGCTGCCTTCCTCCCCTTCACCCACATTTGGCATTTCTCCCCAGGCTATCCCTCCCCAGCCCCACCCCCCCCACACTGTCCCTCCCCTATTCCCCCCAATAGACCCCAGTGTGTAGTACTCCCTTCCCTGGGACCACAACAGTTTTAACAGCTTCTTGCCCTCACTTCTGGGAGCCTCAAACATGCATGTTGCACACACTAATTCTGCATTTCTGGTGAAACCTGTTTCTTTGGATCCAAATGCAGTGTGAGACCAGGATAGGTCATTGCTTATCAAGATGATTCCCACTTGGCTCCAGCCTGCGCTCCATGGCACACCCACCATGCCAGCCATCCCAGGCAGTTTTCTCAACGCTAGAAGGATCCTACTACTTCCCTGCCCAAAACCCTCCAATGGCTCTTCTGTCCCCACAGGATAAAGCCCACACACTAGAAACCAGTATCAGGCCCTTCTCCAGAGCTGCTCTCCACTGCTCTCAAGTTAGGCCTCATGTGTCTCTAAAGCTTGGTTGAGATGGGGTTTCACCACGTTAGCCAGGCTGACCTCAGGTGATCCACCCACCTCGACCTCTCAAAGTGCTGGGATTATAGGCATGAGCCAGTGTGCCTGGCCGAGGATTTTAAGTTAGGAGACAGTAAAGCATGTCTCTCTGCTATTAGAAATTAGGAGTAGGCAGAGTTAACGATGCTGGAGAGAAAGAGACAGACACACAAAGGCAAGAGCAGAGGCCAGGAGAAGGTGAGAGGGCCTGAGATCTGGGATACAGAACCCAAACAAAGCAGCAGCCTCCAGTGGGCACAGGACAACGCCGTCGCTCTGGCTGCAGAGCTGTCGGTATGCACACACACAGTGGAGTTGGTGGTAGAAAGGACGGCACTGCCCTCTCTCCTATACTTCGCTGGCCTGGCTCAGATAGCAAGCTAAGTGTTTACTGCCTTGCCCAGTGCTATCGAGAGTCGACAGCCAGACAGCCTTGTGCCGGGGTCTCAATGCGGACACTTCATCAGTTATAAGCCACTTAACCTCAAGGTCCCTGACCCCGAAATGAATTTGATGAAGGAAAGGCCTCTTTAATCCTAACAATACATGCTGCTTCCAGGTCCACTGTGAGAACTAAAAGAAATAACAGCCTTAAAGGTGCTGGCACAAAGTGACTGTGAAATAAATGCAACATTAAAGACAAGCATATCCTCCTGGTCTGAAAATAATAAAGTAAAAATAACTATCAAATAGGACTAATGTCTCTGATATTATGCTAGTAAGCACTTAATTATATCATTTACTTTCATCTTAACCACGCCCTATGAAATGAGTATTAACCCCATTTTATAGATGAGGAAACTAAAATTAAGACCTCATAGGCAGGGTGCAGTGGCTCATGCCTGAAATCCCAGGACTTTGGGAAGCTGAGGCAGGAGAATCATTTGAACTCAGGAGGCGGAGGTTGTGGTGAGCCAAGTTCATGCCATTGCACAGCCTGGGCAACAAGAGCGAAAGTCTGTCTCAAAAAACAAACAAAACCCCACACAATCACATAGGGAGGAAATGGGAAAGCTGGTCAACTAACTCTGTAATGTCCGGCCTCAAAGGTAACACTTTCATTCCTAACACCATACATTCTACCTTGTTAGCTTGCGATACACACTTATGAATGGCAATCCACACAGAAAAACCCAAGCGAATGTGAAGTGTTGTTATAGAGAATCAAATGCTATTATGGTAGGTTTGTGGGCTAACCTCTATTGAAGTCTGTAGTATCTAGCTCAGGGCCTGATAACCTAAACAAGCAGTTTCCTAAACAAATGCTTAGGAAATGGTTGCTGAATGAATCAATCAACCAATATTTGAGGAAACACAAAATAACATTTCCCGCTGGCTTTGTAACCACATGCATGTATTATTCTGATAAAAATGGAAAAACACATCTATTCCCTTTTCCCTGCATATGCCCCACTGTCATTTCTTCCATAGATGAAAACTATCTTCCTGGCTGCCCCGTCACTTACCCACTTGTTTCTGTGGTTCACGTGGGCACCATTGGTTGCCAGGAAAAGAGCTGCTGCCTCGTTTCCTGCCCCAGCTGCCCGCTGTAGTAAGCAGTTTCCTAGAAGAAAATGGGCATATGATTCTTCTGCTTGCATCAAAATGCAGTCAAGCTGCACGCCGCACAACACCTGCTTTTCCTGCTACCTTACGACTGGCAAGCCCACACCAGACAGCAGGTATCACTAAGGCCACAGAGGTACTACTCTGGATGTGGACACAGAGCCTAGAGAATACCCTGGGCTGGAGCATCCATTCCTCCATGGGGTTCCCACTGGCCACTGCCCAGGACCAAAGGTAAGTTCTGTCTCCTTGCTGGGGTTGGGGTAGAGCAACGTTTCTCAACAGTGATGCTACTCACATTTTGGAGGGGTAAGTTCTTTGCTGTGGGGGTCTGTTCTGCACATTGTGGAGTGTTTAGCAGCATCCTCTGAACTTAGGACAATTCGCAATGTCCACAGATGCTAGACAGGTGTGGTGCTGCACAACTATAATCCCAGCACTTTGAAAGGCCAAGGCAGGCGGATCACTTGACGCCAGGAGTTTGAGATCAGCCCGGTCAACATGGTGAAAACCTGTCTCTACTAAAAATTCAAAACGTAGCCAGGCATGGTGGTGCATACCTATAATCCTAGCTACTTGGAAGGCTGAGGCTGCAGTGAGCCAAGATGGTGCCACTGCACTCCAGCCTGGGTAACAGAGCAAGATTCCGTCTCAAAGGAAAAAAAGAAAAAGAAAGAAAAGTCTAGAGATGTTGACAAGTGTTCTCAGGCAGTATAGACAGGATTGTGCCTGGTTGAAAACCACTGGATGACCATTTTGAAAATATTTTAAGTTCCATTAGAAAATGTCCCTTAAATATGTCAGTTTTATTTCTAATGCTTTAAATATGTTTGTTCTTGGATTATAAATATTTTCCTTAACACTGTCATTCTTTTCTAAGTAAAAACCTAGAAAAGAAAAAAAATTTTTTTCTCTTAAAATGGTTTTAGCCCGAAAACAGCATTTCTCAGTAAAATCCATTTCCAAAAATGAACAAACTATCTCATGTCGATAGCTATACTGTTAGAAATTCCAAATAAACTAAACACCAGGACTAAAAACAAAATAAAGAATTGGGCTAGCCAGGCACAGTGGCTCATGCCTGTAATCCCAGAACTTTGAAAGGCTGAGGTGGGTGAATCACCTGAGGTCAGGAGTTCAAGACCAGCCTGGCCAACATGATGAAACCCATTCTGTACTTAAAAAAGCAAATTAGCCAGGCCTGATGGCACATGCCTGTAATCTCAGCTGTGAAGGAGGCTGAGGCAGGAGAATCACTTTAACCCAGGAGGCGGACGTAAGCCAAGACAATGCCACTGTACTCCAGCCTGGGTGACAGAGCAAAACTCGGTCTCAAAACAAACAAAAAGCAATGAGACAAAGTATTACTTTGCTTCCAGGCCATTTTCTTCCTTATCTTTCAGAGACAGGGATTCGATTCCTACTTGATGGTTACTCTAATCTAGAGACTACTAATGTGGGTCCCATGTTCACGTGTGCAGTCATTCCAGTGTAGACAAGACTTAAATTCTACACCTCACAACAAAATAAAGATAACTTGTGACTGCCAAATATCACTCAACTGTTCAAAGCTAGTGGACTGCCAGGCACAGTGGCTCACGCCTGAAATCCCAGCACTTTGGGAGGCTGAGGCGGGCGGATCACCTAGGGTCAGGAATTCGAGACCAGCCTGACCAACCTGGAGAAACCATCTCTACTAAAAATATAAAATTAGCCAGGCATGGTGGCGCATGCCTGAAATCCCAGCTACTCAGGAGCCTGAGACAGGAAAATCACTTGAACCCAGGAGTCGGAGGTTGTGGTGAGCCAAGATTGCCAAGATTGCACCATTGCATTCCAGCATGGGCAACAAGAGAGAAACTCCATCTCAAAAAAAAAAAACAAAAAACGCGCTAGCTAATTGGCTGGCCTGAGTGCAGTGGTGTTTACAACTCATCACAACCAGTTACAATTTCTCTGTTCCTTCTTCACTCCCACTGCTTTACTTGAATAGCCTTAAAATAAATTTAAAAAAAAAAAGAAAAAATTTAAAAAACGAGTAGACTAAGATTGTTACATGTAAAATGAAAAATGAAACATATCAATAGAAAAAACAATCCTGAACCTGTATATATTTAACAATTAAAACTGAAAGTATATAAAATTGACAGAACCAGCAAGAAAAATGGGCAAAACCATAATCAATTAAAAATATTAATATACCTCTCAGAAATGGGCAGATCAAGCAGTCTAAAAGTTAGTAAGAATATATAGGATCTGAATAGCACCACGAACAAGCTTGATTTAATGCAGCATCCTACAATTACAGAATGCACATTCTTTTCAAGCACATGGCAGACATTTCTAAAAACTAGTCCTGGGAGTCTAATATCCAAGTCTTTTTTTTTTTTTTTTTTCAGAGATGGGATCTTGCTCTGTCACCCAGACTGGAGTACAGTGAAGTGATCACAGCCTCACTGTAGCCTCCAACTCCTGGCCTCAAGCAATCCTCCTACATCAGCCTCCTGAGTAGCTCAGAATACAGGCATAAACCACCTCAATTCTTAAATATCAAAGAACCAATCTCTTACATGGCACATTCTGATATAATATGATTAAATTAGTGGTCAGTAAAATTATGGGTAATAACCAATATGTTTGTAAATGAAAAGCAATTAGTAACAATCTGATTTCCAGAAGTTCAGTCTAAAACACATACAGTTCTTCCAGCATTCCTTGTCCTGTAGTACCTTTACCTGCCTTTAGCTTTTATATCACCTAGAGTGGCGATTTCGTTTGACCTTTAAGTATTATTTTATATTATTTATTTTTATTTGTTTGTCTTAGATGGAGTCTCACTCTGTCACCAGGCTGGAGTGCAGTGACGTGATCTTGGCTCACTGCAACCTCTGTCTCCTGGGTTCAAGTGATTTTCCTTCCTCAGCCTCCTAAGTAGCTGGGATTATAGGCACCTGCCACCATGCCCAGCTGATATTTGTATTTTTAGTAGAGACAGGATTTCTCCATGTTGGCCAGGCTGGTCTCAAACTTCTGACCTCAGGTGATCCACCCATCTCAGCCTCCCAAAGTGCTGGGATTACAGGTGTGGGCCACCGTGCCTGGCCAAACTTCCTTGGAGAAAGGGCTGTTTCAATATCCATCTTTTTTTTTTTTGGTCAACCCTTTTTGTGGGTGGCACCTACCCATGTTTTATACGTTGCTAGTACTCAATACGGAATTACATGGAATCCCTCTCCTTAAAACATCCCTGTATTTTATTCAATCAGGTCAAGGAAATACATTAAAACCGGTTCTCAAAGTGTAGTCTAATATGGCAAATATTGAAGTTATAATCCACCTAAAAAAAAAAGCTCTCTGGGGTATAATTTTTAAGTCAGTCAAAAGAATTCTGAGTCCAAATCATTTGAGAATCCCCGCATTAAATAAATGGAGGTGTTTCAGCTTCAAGCACTTGATGTCTGCTAAATTGTTTGAAGCACAGGATTGTTTTGTTTGTTTTTTGAGACAGTGTTTCGCTCTTGTTGCCCAGGTTGAAGTGCAATGGCTCAATCTCAGTTCACTGCAACGTCCGCCTCCTAGGTTCAAGTGATTCTCAGCCTCCTGAGTAGCTGGGATTACAGGTATGCGCCACCATGCCCAGCTAATTTTGTATTTTTAGTAGAGAAGGGGTTTCTCCACATTGGTCAGCTGGTCTCGAACTCCCAACCTCAGGTGATCCACCAGCCTTGGCCTCCCAAAGTGCTGGGACTACAGGCATGAGCCACCATGCCTGGCTGAAGCACAAGATTTTTAAAAATTACAACCCAGGGTTTTATTGTATTTAAAAATTAAATAAACAGTAATTATCCTAATAGTATGCTGTCCAGTATCTAGATCTGGGGTGAGAGCATTTACGCGCTATCTACCGGCACTGCCCTCTGGGAGGCAGGTGCTTACCTGTCGCCATGTCAGGTGCGTCTGTGTGGCTGCCGTGCTGGATGAGTCTGGCTGCAAAGCTGTTTTCATCAAATGAAGTCCCATTTACCACAGGGACATCTTCGAAGGGGTTCACAGACTGGTCAGAAGACACGGTGATATACTGCACGGCAAGCCACAGAGCCGTGCTGCCCTCATGGTCTTTCAGTTCTAAATCTAGTCTGAAAAGCAGAAGCCAAGTCAACAGCAAATAAAATCTTTTACAGACACTCTATACTGACAACCTCGTTTTTTCTCTTTATACTTTTTCGATGACAAATTTTTTTAGCTCCCTTTAACTTTTTAACATATGTAACACTAAAAGATGTTTAAAAAGAATTATTTTTCACTCACAATACCCCCCTCACAACTGCCTTTTCACTTCTTCATGTCTCCCTACGTACTGTTTACACTGCAGCAGCTGATTGAACACATATTCGTTCCTGGCCATGATGGACACATGTAAAGGAGTCCTGCAGGATAGAAAGAAGAGGTGTCAGTTCAGGACAGGACCCATCAGGGCGACTCTCGGCAAGGGGAGCCGGAACCCTGGGCAGTCACCACCCACGGGAAATTCCACATTTCTCCAAGTCTCCTAAAACCACGACAGCGCAACAAAACATGAAAATGGATCTGCTCACGTTACTGCGATTCAGTGGCCAAAACAGACAAGAGTTGGCTAAAGGAAGAGATCCCAAATCCTCTCCCACTCAATACTGACCCCTTACTGAAGGCATGTACATGATTTGCTTGAAAACAGCACTTTCTGCCATAGGTGTGAAGATTTTCCATTATCTATTCTCCATCAATTCTAAAAGGAAACTTTCCCCTATAATTTTCTGTTCTTCTCAAACACACTCAGAGCAGCCAGTGATGAAAGCTGCACTTAACCCTTTTCACTGCTTTTATGTAGCACCCAGGAGCCCTGCAGGAGACTTGCCACTACAGAGGTCAGGGCCCCAAGGCTGCATCTACACCGTCCCCCGCCCCCCGGGCCCCCCCCAAACACACTGCAGAGTCAGGGCCCAAGGCTGCATCTACCCCCCTAACAACACACACACACACACACACACACACACACACACACACACACACACGGCTCAAGGCTGCATCTACTCCCCGCCACCCCCCACATACACACTGCAGAGTCAGGGCCCAAGGCTGCAGCTACCCACCACCCCCTACACACTGCAGAGTCAGGGCCAAAGGCTCCATCTACCCACAACACACACACACACACACACACACACACACACTGCAGAGTCAGGGCCCAAGGCTGCATCTACCCGCCTCCCCCACAACACACACACACAAACTGTAAGTTTATTGCTGCTGGAGGAAAAAATGCAAGAATCAACAGCAGGGAAATAAGGTAATTATCACATGATACTGAGAGTTGATGAAGCTGCATCTCGCATGTGCTTTATCTGTCACACAGATCCATTTTCCTATTCTGACAACCAGACTTTATAAAAAATGTTTTCTTTTTGAGAGGTTTTTCAAGGGTATAAAATACTGAGTTGTTCTAATGACAAGTGGTTCCCAACTCTGGTCAGAGAGCAGGTGACTTAACTGTCCTTCACAGCCTCTCACTACTGGCCCAAGACAAGTTGCCTTTTCTTAGACGCTAAACAACAAAGAATCCTCAACTAGGTATTTGTGGAAAGGGCAAAGTGAACACAATAAACACTGTCAAATATGGGAAGGGCCACTATGAATGGGGCTGTGCAGATAAAGTGGGAGTGCTAACAAGGTGAAATTGGGCTTACTGCAGAGAATATCCAACGACTAGATCTCATAAAAATAACAACTGATTGTCTGGAGTTAGCGAGCTCCTCTTCTTCAAACTACCCAAGCAACTCTAAGAAACGCTACAAGATTCGCTTGCAGGCACTGGACTGGATGACCACTCTGGCTCCTTTGAACATGAAGATACAAATTGCTTAGAAGCTGGAAGATTGGCTCACGCCTGGAAACCCAGCACTCTGGGAGACCAAGGTGGGCAGACTGCTTGAGCTCAGGAGTTCGAGGCCAGTCTGGACCACATGGCAAAACCCTATCTCCAACAAAATACAAAAATCAGCCAGGCGGGGTGGCGCATGTCTGTAGTCCCAGCTACTCAGGAGGCTGAGGTGGGAGGATCACCTGAGCCTGGGAGGTGGAGGCTGCAGTGAGTCAAGATCGCACCACTGTACTCCAGCCTAGGCAACAGAGTGAGATGCTGATGCAATTAAAAACAAACAAACAAATAACAACAAAAAACCCTCAAAGACTCCAGTTACCCAGGATGGAAATGTTTTCCCCAGATGCCTCTGGTTTCAGTAGGACCACTATACTACACATCAGTGTCTGTGACCTTAATACAAACCAGACTGAACAACACCAAACTCCAGACCAGGAAGTCCCTGCAAGACTGTCGCATGCTACTGGAAGGTCACCTCCCAAGAACAGTGCTGCAGGCACCTTGCCTCCCCCAGCTCACCTGCCCCTGCTGTCCTGCATGTTGGGGTTGGCGCCGGCCTGCACGAGGGCCTCTGCAATCTGCGCCATCTCAGACATCACATCTGCCGAGTGTTTCTTTGAACTGTACAAGGCCACAAGGTGCAGCGGTGTCTCCTGGGCACCCAGTGTAGCAGCATTAACCAAGGCCCCATTCTTAATGAGGAAAGTGGCAGCAAAGAGGTCTCCTTGAAAAGAAATAACAGAAGAAACAATATTCAGGATAAGGTGCTCTGGCCTGTGCCTCCTCAAGAGGCAGCAGCAAACGACTGCAGACTAAGAATGTGTCTGAGGGAACCTCTGGGGGCATCTGTGAGTGGAAACTCATCCCTGAGATCGTGGAGTTACAGATGAACTCAAAAGGCTTTGCTCAATCTTTGACTACCTATTATCACTTGTCCTGCCGCCTCACCTCAGCATCTCTTCACTCTTTAAGAATATCAGGCTTCTATTCTTCAAAGTCTCTTCCAGGCAGCTCTCAAAGAGGGTGGGAAGGATCCTCCTCACACAATCTCTCTCTCTCTCCTTTCCTGACCACAGCTTGTCGCTAACTAAGCAACATCGGCCCCCATTCTACTGTACTTGCATACAGGTTCCTACTCAGAGTAAACCCATGCCTGTTTTAGTATTATACAATTTTTCCTTTTAGTTTTATTTTTATCCCCAGACAAAGTCTTGCTCTGTTGCCCAGGCTGGAGTGTAGTGGTGCAATCTTAGCTTGCTGCAACTTCCACCTCCAGGGTTCAAGCAATGCTCATGCCTCAGCCTCTTGAGTAGCTCGGATTACAGGCATATGCCACCATGCCCAGCTAATTTTTTGTATTTTAGTACAGACAAGGTTTCATCATGTTGCACATGCTGGTCTCCATCTCCTGAGCTCAAACCACCTGCCTCAGCCTCTCAAAGTGCTAGGATTACAGACGTGAGCCACTACAACTGACCTTTTTAGGTTTGTAATCTCATTACACATACATAACTGACTTAACGAGAAGTTTACAATGAAATATTTGAACGAAGTATCTGTATACACTCCTATTTACAAATATTTCACATGGTAAATAACCTCACTGTGAAAACAAAACTTCTTCCTAAATCCCTTCCACTGACTTAACGCTTGGAGTATTACAGGTAAAAGAGTCTACCTGGAACTATTTACAAATATCAAATTAAGACTGAATAACATCTGAGTGCTTTGGAAGGCCGAGGCGGAAGGATGGCTTGAGCCCAAGAGTTCAAGACCAGCCTGGCAACATTGGGAAACCCCATCTCTACAAAACAACTTAGCAAGGAATGGTGGCACATACCTGTGGTTCCGGTTACTCAGGAGGCTGAGGTGGGAGGACTGCTTGAGCCCCAGAGTTCGAGAACGTAGTGGGCTCTGAGTGTGCCATTGCACTCTAGCCTGGGTGACAGAGAGAGATCCTGACTCAAAAATCCATTCTTCTTCTTTTCTGAGACAAAGTCTAGCCCCCATCACCCAGGCTGGTGTGCACTGGCATGATCACAGCTCACTGCAGCCTCAACTTCTTAGGCTCAGGGGATTCTTCTACCTCAGCCTCCTGAGTAGCTGAGACTACAGGCACGCACATCATCATGCTTGGCTTATTTTTTATATTTTTAGTAAAGACAGGGTTTCACCATGTTGCCCAGGCTGGTCTCCAAACCCTGGGCTCAAAAGAGCCACCTGTCTCAGGCTCCCAAAGTGCTGGGATTACTGGCATTTTTTTTTTCTTGCAAAAATAAAAGTTTTATTGTCATGTATTAATACTTTATTAAAAAAAAAAAAAAAAAGCTTACTAGCTGACTCCAATGCAGGTGGTCCACAGAAGGGCATTTCAGATTCACACAAAAGAAGTAACAAATAATGGGGATCCCCTTTCCTATGTGAAGATAACAATATACAGGCCAAACAGGACATACATTCTGGTTTTTGAATAGCAGTTATAGATTTATAAGGTCGTTGATACACACTAGGTTCTCTCTGCACCTGGCCAAAATCCATGAATTTTAATAGCTTGATTTACTGTCTTTGACTATTTATGCTCTGTAGGAGGGAATACAACTACTTTGACATGTTAATAAAAGGCCAAGAATTAAGTTTAAGATATTAAAGGTACACATTTGTGACAATACTTTGTCAGACACTAGTAAAGAGAAATAGACTCGAGACCAGTTGTACAAATACATGGTTAAGACTCAGAAGTAACCAATCTAATAAGTGGCCATTTAATGTTAAAAATACTTCTGAAATTCTTCATAGAATAAAGATAAAAAGAAAAGAAAAAAAATACTTGTGAAAAACCAGTTAAAGTATACTTGTCAAGTTAACTTGGAGAATGACAAAGACTAAACAATTAAATTTAAGATTAAAGTTCAATCTTACTTGGATTTATATTTAAAAATTAAAACATACAAACACACTACATATATATAAAATTGACGCTTCTTAAGAAAACAAGGCAAGAATAGCAAAGCATCATAATATACAGAACAGAAACCTGTTAAAAAGGTCTGGGGCATTACACCTCGCAGGGTGAGAGCAATTGCTCTCAGTGGCCTCCAGGTGGCACCAATGAGCTCATACTGGGAAAGTTGGGTTTTGAGGATTATTTTGTTTTTTTGTTTGTTTTTTGTTTTGAGACAGGCTCTCTGTCACCCAGGCTGAAGTACAGTGGCATCATCATGGCTCACTGCGGCCTTGACCTCTGGGGCTCAGGTGATCTTCCCACCTCAACCTCCCGAGTAGCTGGGACTACACAACACACTCGGCTAATTTTTGTGTTTTTGGAAGAGATGGGTTTTGCCACGTTGCCCAAGCTGGTCTTGAACTCCTGGGCTCAAGCAATCTGCCCATCTCAGCCTCCCAAAGTGTTGGGATTACAGGCATGAGCCATGGCCCCTAGTCTGGAAAGTCTTTCGAGGGTGAACGTTAAACATCTTCCAAGTCAAATTCATCTGCAACTTGAAATCTGCACATGTAACTGATGGCTGAAATGTAAGTTGACCCAAGAGCTGGGATTCAGGGCACTTTCTGCAGATGTGGTCTCCATCTCCCCAAGGGCTACGGGTGAATTTCTTGCAAATCACATCCTTCTTCACCTGGATGATCCCCAAAATGCAGAACAACGTCCCAGAGTTTGATTTGCTGGTCCCATGAAAGTTGACTACATTCCTTAAATGTGTGGGTGGTGTTGGGATGAATGCTGGATTGTTGAAGGTGGCTTGGCACATCTTTCTTTTATGGATCACAGGCAATGGTGTTCTTTCCATAGTCCGTCTGCTTTTGTCTTTACATCAAGACACTTTGGTCCCTATTGTTAGAATTGTGGGTACAGACTCCTTTGAATCACAACTTCGAGACAAGGCTTTTCTCTCTTCCAAAGTTTTCTCTTTACATCTTACGATATCATTTCATCTCCTTCAACTACACATCTACAGTTCGAACACCTAAAATGGGGCTTCAGGAGTAGTAAAGCTCTCTCAATTCTGTTGATCCTGTACGCATTTTCATAGGAGTATTCAGGTGTCATCTGGTTCTCAGTGGGTATGAAATTAGAAAATCATTTGCTTTTGTTTTGGTTTCTGGTTTTTTGAGATAGGGTCTGGCTCTGCTGCTCAAGCTGGAGTGTAGTAGTGTAATCATGGCTTACTGCAGCCTCAGCTGCACAGCCTCAAGCAATCCTCCTGCCGCAGCCTCCCAAGCAGCTAGGAATACAAGTGTATGCCACTCTGCCTGGCTCATTTAAAAATGTTTTTGTAGGGATAAGCTTTCACTATGTTGCCTACGCTGGACTCGAATTCCTGGCCTCTAGTGAACCTCCCATCTTGGCCACCCAAAGTACTGGGATTACAGGTGTGAGCCACCGCACCCAGGTTGTCTGTTTTTCAACACTTCCCATCTGCTCTATGCTTTCTTCCAAGGGACCATCTTGCTAGAGAATGTGGACTCTGGCACTGGGGCAGCTGAAAGGCCTCAGGTGCTGACTCGCTCCTCAGATGCTGGATTGGCTCATGTCTGGTTTTTTTTCTTTGTATTCACACTGTCTTATACAAAATAGACCCTGAGGAAATGTTTGGGAAGAAAATGGATTGACTGGTTGGGACTATTAGGTTCTATGTTATCAGAAAGGCTCTAATTTGAATTAATTATGACTTCAGGTAACTTAACAATTTTCCAATCAGTCCCTTCTCTTGAAATATTTTCATTCTTCTGCTCCCGTTCTGGGTGGGGCAGGGGTGCAGAAGGGTGCAATCTTTACCAGTATCAGGTGCAAAGGGCTAAAGCTGAGATTTCTTTATAGTAGAGAGGCAGTAAAACACTACAGGTAACATGCACACCGGGGGCTAGGCTAGGTCAGTCCTTTGCTATCCATTTATACAGGTACACAGAGGGCCCTACTCTGTATCATGAACGAACTCCACATTGATTTGGTATAGGAGAAAATACGTAAAGACAACAATACATTAGCAATAAAACAAAATATCCTAGAGATAGCCACTAACATTCTGGGAGTAGAAAGCAACTTTAGAACTACTGGGACAAAGAATCTTAATGAAAAGTCCAAAATATGAGATACTCGGGGGAGAAGGGATAACGTAGTGTCATTACTTTTAAGCTTAAAATATAATCCAAACCAAGACACAAATACATAGTGGCTGGGCACAGTGGCTCCTGACTGTAATCCCAGTAGTTTGGGAGGCCAAGGCAGGTGGATCACTTGAGGCTAGGTGATTCAGACCAGCCTGACCAACATGGCAAACCCAATAGCTACAAAAATACAAAAATTAGCCAAGCGTAGTGGCACACACCTGTAGTCTCAGCTACTAATATGGCTAAGGCATGAGAATCACTTGAACTCGGGAGGTGGAAGTTGCAGTGAGCTGAAATTGGACCACTGCACTGCAGCCTGGGCGACAGAGCAAGGCTCTGTCTCAAAAAAATAAAAAGAGAGAGAGAGAAACACAGTAAAGCTAAGACAAGGTAAGTTAATGAAAAATGTATACTACACCATACATACAGAAGATAAACAGGGCAATACCCCACAGGTATATGAAAACCTATGAATGGGTAGAATCAAATGGAAGGCATGATAAAAAAATTTTGTATCTTGGCCGGGCGCGGTGGCTCAAGCCTGTAATCCCAGCACTTTGGGAGGCCTAAGTGGGTGGATCATGAGGTCAAGAGATCGAGACCATCCTGGTCAACATGGTGAAACCCTGTCTCTACTAAAAATAAAAAAAATTAGCTGGGCATGGTGGCGTGTGCCTGTAATCCCAGCTACACAGGAGGCTGAGGCAGGAGAATTGTCTGAACCCAGGAGGCGGAGGTTGCAGTGAGTCGAGATCACGCCATTGCACTCCAGCCTGGGTAACAAGAGCGAAACTCTGTCTCAAAAAAAAAAAAAAAAAATTTGTATCTTAAAGTGTAAGTCCTCTTAGAAGAATTATAGATTTTGGATCAGATTTACTTTATTAATAAGATCCAAATATAAAGTTCTTTTTACTTATAATCATACACACATATACATTAATATATGCACCCCATACAAAGAAGCTATTAGAAATTATTAGAAACAGAAAATTAATGAAGTTTTACATTAAAAGAAAGCCCAGAGAGTACATAAAGGAAGGGAAAAAGAGAACTGATATCAGAAGAGTAGAACAAAGGGAGGAACAGAAAATGCCAAAAGCACCATTTATAAAGTTTCTGTCAATAAGAAAGTGGGTAATACAGTTCAGATGTTTTGATTTCAAATCATCAAAAACAGTTCAAATAAAAACTGGTGCTTCAAAGTTTCAGTTACTTCATCACCTCATTCCCCGATACTCGCAGGTATATGAGGCACAACTATCACAAGCTGTCCACATAAAAATATTCTCTTTTCTTTGAGATGAAGTTTCGCTCTTGTTACCCAGGCTGGAGTGCAATGGCGGATCTTGGCTCACCGAAACCTCTGCCTCCTGGGTTCAGGCAATTCTCCTGCCTCAGCCTCCTGAGTAGCTCGGATTACAGGCACGTGCCACCATGCCCAGCTAATTTTTTGTATTTTTAGTAGAGACAGGGTTTCACCATGTTGACCAGGATGGTCTCGACCTCTTGACCTTGTGATCCACCCGCCTCGGCCTCCCAAAGTGCTGGGATTACAGGCGTGAGCCACCGCGCCCAGCCCATAAAAATATTCTTAACAGTAAAGTCCACACTAAAACAATCCATATACAGTATTTCTCTCGATGTGGCTTCCGGACAGCTCTATTCATAACAGTAGCCTTCATTATTCCACTCATACAAACCACATATCATGCTGCTCCAGTTAGTGGCATCATTTTCAAATTTACTAAAAATAATTAACAGGAGCATACTCAAGAACCCCACTTACTGATGCTGGTTACTAAGGTAAAAAAGTTCAGGAAGAATTGTTTTTATAAAGTGAAGGCTCACCTTCTTGCTGAGATCAAGCTGCTTGAAGGAGATGACCTCCTCAGCCATACCTGGGCCTCCTGGGGGCTCCCCCAGAGACACTGCCTGCCTGTTCCCTTCTTCAGACAAAATGACTGGTTTACTTGGTTATCAGGATGATCACTGACTATTTTGTTTATAGATTCTAATGTGTGCTCAGAACTAAACCTAAATCCCATATACTAGAGACTTTCACTCTTAACAGCGAAAGTGAAAAAAAATCCTACAGGAACTGAATCTGGTGGTGGGGTTCTGATGCGGGGTCAAGGTATGAACTGCAGGGCTGACCCTACCCGTCACCTGGTAATCACTGCTGGGTGTACTACCAACCCTGTCTCGAATTCTCTGAACAAACAAATGAAGCCAAAGTGATTTCCACTTTATGGATAAGACTCAGAATGTGATTCACCCAAGGTCACAGAGTCAAGAGATCAGCTAAGATTCAAACCTTTGTACATACAAGCTTCATAACCAGTGCTCTGTCTACCGTAACATGCTACATTCTCTAAAGTTAGCAAAATCAACTTCATTATACCCACACTGTAACCCACATATTTTCAGGCAATTAATAAACTCAGAGTGGAAGATTAAATCATCTGAAAATAAACATCAAAAATGGATCACTAATTCTTGGCAACTCTTGAAACTAAGCAATCACCAAAATATTTAATAAGTCAAAAATGTTTTATCATCAAACAAGAATTATCTCCCCAAGAGGAAAGAAACAAAATTCTCTCTTTTTTTTTAAGTAATGGGGTATTTGTTTCCAAGATAAACATCTCAGACACTAAACAGTGTGGGAAAGAATCAGTCCCTCCCTGGTGAGATTTCCCCACTGAACGCACACTCAGTGCTAAGCTCCTACTGGCTTTGCACAGCACAGAATGGTGCTTGGGAAAAACCCATCTAGTCTTGACATTGACATACTCCAAGGATTTCCTACCCAGTGATGAGCAAAATTTTCCTCTCTACCAGCCAGCAAGCTCAGCACTCCAATACATGGCTAACAAGGATATTTGTGTCAAAACCTTTGCCCAAAAAGGACAAAGCTGGCACAGGACCACATCTTGATGTAACTACATTCTACCAACTAGGAGCAATCTGTGAATGGCAAAATGTGGTATAGACAAGAATGGAGTGACAATGCATCATCGAAAGGGGAAAATACAGATGATTAAGATGGAGTGAAACGACTATATTCTCTCTTTGATGTCTTCATGTAAGTAACAAAAAAGTGGCCATGGCAATGTACTCCAATCAGGTCCACCATCTTGCCACAAAATTAATGCTTCGACACTTTTGAAAGCTTTCATTCCTTACTGGAACTCTACCTCTATACAGATTTCACTGGGTCAAAAATGACCACTGCAAAGCAACATCAGCCAGGATCCATTTGGGACTTAGGAATTAGTAAGACCATGGAAAAAACTAAACAAAAAACTAGTATTGTTTCTTCCTTTGAGAAGTTAATTCATTAAGATTAAAATGTTTTGTTCTCAAGTTTATCCTTTCTGTATTCTTCCAACTACCAACAATGTATTCAAAATACAGCTACAATTCCAAATAACATTGCTAGAACAAAATAAAACTTTATCAATTTATCTTAATAGAGGTCTAGCCTGTTAAAATGAAAACCCTGAATCTGAGAATATGTTTAAACACTGATGGTTTTGATACTATCCTTGTGTATCTGTGGTAGGATAGAAAAGCAAAACCTTCCTAGCACAATTCCTGGAGAAAATGACCCACTGAGCAAGCAAACACATCAGGTGCTTATAAGTAAAAGGTACTTCCTCACACACAGGACCATCTTTAGAGCCTTTCTTCTGGGGCCTTGTTGGCACCATGAATGGCCAAACAAACAAGTCCTAGGGAACAGCCATGATCATATTCTCAATCATGACCCATGATCAAATTCTAAATCACGCAGCCTGTAAGTACAGACTAGAGAAGCCTTCGTGAATTTTTGAAACAAAGTCAGAAAGTCTTCAAAAATTACTTGGATAAAAATCAAACTGCCTGCAGAGAAAAACATAAAATACACCTCTTCCCACCTCTTTGGATTCCTTTGTGTAACAAGCTCCGGCCATGCTTGTCCACCATGTCCACATCAGCTTTGTGACTAACCAGCGTGATGGCAATGCTCTCCAATCGTCGTGAAAGGGCTAGATCTAATGCCAGGTCTCCATTAGGATCCGCCTCATTCAGCTTCCCGGGGAGCTACACAAACAAGTTTGCAAATTAGTGTCCAGTGAATAGAGAATACAAGCTATTTTAATTTCTTCCACCTTGACCCTTAAATATCATCTCCTCTACAAAAGTCCAATTTAAGTGCTCTGACACTGCTTACTCCCAAAATTCAACTTCGTCACAAACTTCTATCAGGATTCCTCAGGGCACATATTTTCAGGGAGGACAGAAGTAGTGGGGACCAGACAGCAAACATAAACAATGTGGGAGACAATGTAAGAACCACAGGGAAAATGTGGACAGAGTGCCATGGGGCATGACTGCCAGGGCAGAGGTTCGGAGGGCTTCTTGGTAAAGAGCTCATGTTTTCATGAAAGGCGGTAGCTTTCCTACCTCATTCTTCCCAGCAGTTCAATGTCTCCCACTACACTGACACCCAGGATAAAACATACCTCATTCCCATCCATCAAGAGCCACTACATTTCGTTTAAGGTAATGTAGAAGGTAGAAATGGGCCGGGCGCGGTGGCTCATGCCTGTAATCCCAGCACTTTGGGAGGCCGAGGCGGATGGATCACGAGGTCAAGAGATAGAGACTATCCTGGTCAACACGGTGAAACCCTGTCTCTACTAAAAAAAATGCAAAAAATTAGCTGGGCATGGTGGCGCATGCCTGTAATCCCAGCTACTCAGGAGGCTGAGGCAGAAAAATTGCCTAAACCCAGGAGGCGGAGGTTGCGGTGAGCCGAGATCCGCCATTGCACTCCAGCCTGGGTAACAAGAGCGAAACTCGGTCTCAAAAAAAAAAAAAAAGAAGAAGAAAGAAGGCAGAATTATAGCCCCCCAAAGATGTACATGTCCTAACCCCTAGAACCTGCAAACATGTCACATTACACGGCAAAAGGCGCACTGAAGATGTGATGAAGGTGAAGGACCTTGAGATGGGGAGGGCACCCAGGTCATCCAGGAGGGCCCAATCTAACTCACCACACAAGCTCTTACAAGTGAAAATGGGAACCAGAGGAGTTAAGTCCAAGAGATATGACATGAGAGGGACCTGACCCACCACTGCTGGCTTTTAAGATAAAAGCCAGGGCTATGAGCTAAGGAATGTGTGGTGGCCTCTAGAAGGTGGGAATGGCCTTCAGCTGACAGCTGGCAAGAAAACAGGGACCTCGATCCTGTAACTGCAAAAATCTGAATTCTGCCAAAAACCCAAATGAGCAGGAAATGGATTCTCCTCTAGAGTCTCTGGAAAGAAGCACAGCCTGCTGACACCTTGATTTTAGGCCAGTGACTCCTGTCTTAGACTTCCAACCAATGAAACTGTCAGGCAATACATTTGTGTTGTTTTACCCATTAAGTTGATAGTAATTTATTATAGCAGGAAAAGTAAACTAATACAGATTTTGCACCTGGAAGTTAAGAAGTATTGTTACCAAAAAAAAAAAAAAAAGCTACATAAAAGCATGTGGGAGGTTTTTAAATTGGGCAATGGGCTAAGGCTGGAAGGATTTTGAGAAACATGACAGAAAAGCTCAACTCGCCTTGAACAAACCATTTAGTAGAAATCCGTACATTAAAGACCGTGCCAGGGATGGCTCCAATGGAAGTGAGGAGTACCATGGAAAAAATAAGTGCATTACAGCTTTGGGAAATGAAAAATGGAAAAGGCAGCGACAGTACCTGGGAATCCATTTCAATCAGATAAAGGAAGACCACATCTTCTCTCTCCACTTTGATAGCTTTATGTAGCGGGTACTCTGTTTTGGATTTGATCATTTTGTATAACAGCTGAGCACTCATGCTACTGAAATCCTCCTTTCTCAAGTCATCCTAAGAATTCATAACATAGTAAAAAGCAGAACAGATACAAAACAATAAAAACAACTCCCATTAGTAAGCCCTTAAAATGCAGCAGTGAGGCTCTAATTTAAAAGCTTAACATTTCCCAACTCATTTATTTCTCCCCAAAACCCAATGAGGTAAGTACTTGATCATCCCCATTTTACAGAAGAAAAAAGTAAAGCATAAGGAGATTAGATAACTTGCTCAAGTTCAGACAGTCCTTAAATGGCTAGGGAACCAGAAAGCCTGTGTTCCGAGCCTCACTTTACCCTACCACTACTGAGTTCCCCAGTGAGATGGAAAAGCACAAGCCATGCTTACCTCTAACAGGAATGCACCCCGAGGGAGCCTCCACATGAGAGCAAGGAGTCCACCTCCCATCCCCACAAAGATGGTAGTTACAAAGTCAATCAGAATTTCACAAACAAGTCACTCCACTGGGTCAGAGCTGGTCCTATTATTGCAGCTCTCTATATTTTGACCTATTTTAACTGAAAGGTTTCCAATCCTGTTTCAATTCCTTAAAATCCAGTGCTTTTCTATTTTGGTTGTGAGAAGGAAAAGGAAAGAAAAATTAAAAAAAAAAATCCAGTGCTTTTAGCCACCTTTTCTGAAACTCTAAGGCTTTTCCCACAATGTTGCTGAATACCAAACAATTCACAGAAAATAATTTGCAAAAGGTAGCACTAGCCCTGATTTCTTAAAACTGCTAACAACAACAAAAAAAGGAAACACTGTTCTTTATGATGAAAACAACCTAAGAAAGACAAATCTAAATTTAAAGATGCTCTCCACCTGATGGGGAGAGCAAGGGCTAGCTCTGAAACTGTGTGCTGAGTACTGCAGAACCTGCTGGCTGCAGAGCCACACCCTATTCCTGCAGCTCAGCTGCAGCTTCCACAGATGGAGGGTGAAGGCAGGTGATGCTTCCAAGCCTGTTTCTGAACCTGAGCTATCTTTTTTGGGGGGTGGAGACAGAGTCTCACTCTGTCACCCAGGCTGGAGGGCAGTGGTATGATCGTGGCTCACTGCAACCTCCACCTCCCAGGATTAAGCAATTCTCACACCTCAGCCTCCCGAGAGTAGCTGGGATTAAAAAGCATGCACCACTGAGCCTGGCTGATTTTTGTATTTTTAGTAGAGACAGGCTTTCACCATGTTGGCCAGGCTGGTCTCGAACTCCTGACTTCAAGTGGTCTGCCTGCCTCGGCCTCCCAAAGTGCTGGGATCGCAGGCATGAGCCACCACGCCCAGCCCAACCTAAGCTATCTTTTGTCCTTCCACTCTGAAATCACAGAACTACCAGAATTTCAGAGCAGAAGAGTCTCACAGATCATCTAATCATACGATTTATTCTTCAATTGTGTAACAAGAGAAAACTAGGTGCCAGAGAGGTACCTTCCCATGGAGCTACGTCCCAGGCCTTGGTCTCCTGACTGCGGTGCCAGAGAGGTACCTTCCCATGGAGCTATGTCCCAGGCCTCGGTCTCGGTTATAGTGCTTTGTCAGTACCCCTCTCAAGCTCTCACTCACCCAGTGACTTGCAATAATTTCTGCACAGTAGTTCATCAGGGTGCTGGCATTCAGTTCCTCTGCCGTCTGGTAGAAGCGAATACAGTTCCTAACATTCACTAGAGACATAACACCCTTCTCACATCTGTAAGAGAGTATTCATGATGAGCGGGATTACTAAACAAATACATTCATAAATGAACAAACCAAAGCAATAATCAGTGTACTGGCTGGCAATGTCCTGTTAATAACACTATGGGGTAAGGTTAAACAAAGTATTATGGATAAATTACAGTTGGTCTCCAAATTTTAAAAGTATTAAAATTTCATTATGATATTTCATTGTTCAGTTCTGGTCAGAATCAAACATGCAAATAAACTTACTAAGCATAATACCCCAATTGCCTTAACAGTAAGCATGTGACACTCGCTGATCATATAGACAGGTAATTTGTCAAATCAAGCACAAAATGGACTAACCTCTGTCCTTCAAAGGACATGTAATTGTATGGAACATGGCTTTAGTTCCCCCTAGCACAACTATGTCATGCAAACAGTGTGGGTTAGAAATAGTTTCAAACATGAGCTCTAGGCCTCAATAACACTTCCTTAAAAGCTCTAGAAGATGAACCTGCATGGCATGTGAATTATAACTCAATAAAGTTGTATTTTAAAAGTCCATCCACAGTATCTATGTTTAGAAAAAACAGACAAATCAGCCGGGCATGGTGGCTCATGCCTGTAATCCTAGGACTTTGGGAGGTCAAGGCAGGTAGACTGCCTGAGCTCAGGAATTCAAGACCAGCCTGGCCAACATGGTGAAATCCTTTCTCTCCTAAAAACACAAAAACAAACTAGCTGAGTGTGGTGGTGGGCGCCTGTAGTCACAGATACTTGGGAAGCTGAGGCACAAGAATTGCTTGAACCTGGGAGGCAGAGGTTGCAGCGAGCTGAGATCATGCCACTGCACTCCAGCCTAGGCAACAGAGCAAGACTCTGTTTAAAAAAAAAATTAGGAAAAATAGCCAAATCATAGTACCCCACCACCACCAAAAAAATCAGATTTCTAGTACAACAACAAAACCACAGTACACCAAAATAGAGAAAAATGGGCTACAATGGATGTCCTCATAAAGCCAAGTAACAACAAAAACAAGAAGATTCTTTCAGAATCATTAAAAAAAACATGGCCAGGTGCAGAGACTCACACCTGTAATCCCAGCACTCTGGGAAGCCAAGGCAGGAGGATTACTTGTGGCCACGAGTTCAAGATCAGCCTGGGCAACACAGCAAGACCCTGTCTCTACCAAAACAATTTAGAAATTAGCCAGGCATGGTAGTGTGTGCCCATAGTCCCAGCTACTCAGGAGGCTGAAGTGACAGGATCACTTGAGCCCAGGAGTTCAAGGCTGCAGTGAGCCATGATCATATCACTATACTCCTGCCTAGATGACAGATGGAGACCTTGTCTTAAAAAAAAAAACAAAAAAAAACCATCAACTACCCATCAGAGAAGAGAGAGCTGAAGGCAGGCAAACAGGTCTCTGGTAGCAAGAGCAGGACCACATCGTAGTCTGGAAGATACAGCATTGGAAAGACCATACTTCCTCTATCCCAGAATTCCTGGAAGCCTTAGGGGATCTCCTATGACACCAGGTCTATGCGGAAAAAAAGGCCAGGGCATAGTCCTTCAGCTCCCTTGCCTCCACAACTCCCTCCAAATCAAGTTCACCTACAAGGGCAGCCACAGAGGACTAGCATGGTTTCACGAGATTTCCTGACATCCACCATTGTTTTCCCTGCCAGCAGCAGCCACCAAAACTCTTTTCTAATCACAAAGGCAGATTGTGGACAGAGCAAAATAAATAAACAATGAGGTAAGAAAGACCTGAGTGGAGACCCATTAAATTTTAGGGGCCAAATTACTTGGGCTCTCTGTGCCCCAGCTCCTCCTCTGTAAAATGAAGATGTTACTCTCCCTTCAGATGTTTGAGGAATACTTGTGTGTTTGTCAAGACAGAGGAAGCTAGTTACACTCAGCACAGCTGAGTGAGGTATGTAGTCGATATGCTCGTAAAAGTTTGAGGGCCCTCTCCTAGTCCGTCTTGTCTCTCAAGTCTCAAATTCCTTTACTAAGAAAGAAGCATATGATTTTAATAACCCACATTTGTGGATGTCAGTCCTGTTAACAATAACCAGCTAGCAGCTAATTCCCAGTTTTAACAGATGAGTTTCAGGTAACAGAGTAGAAAAGGACCACGGGAGGGGGTGATGGAGGAAGAAAGAAGGCGGTCACAAGACAGACCTGGGAAGAATGAAGAACACACTTTCAAAACCTCACAAAGGAGAAGCTAGGAGCAAGAATGCAATCTTGGAGTCATTTCTCTATTTAGCAATAAATAAAGGCACCTGCTTTACTAAGACCTGTCAAAGTTTTGGTATTTTTTGTTGTTGGTTTTTTTTTTTTTTTTTTTGAACAGAGTCTTGCTCTGTCACCCAGGCAGCGTACAGTGGCATGATCTCGGCTCACTGCAACTTCCACCTCCTGGGTTCAAGCAATTCTCCTGCTTCGGGCTCCCGAGTAGCTGGGATTACAGGCGTGCACCACCAAGCTCAGCTAATTTTTGTATTTTTAGTAGAAATGGGGTTTCACTATGTTGTCCAGGCTGGGCGCTTTGTTTCTAATTAACATAACTGACTTGGTGTAAGGAAGCATCTCTCCCAGAGCACTTTAAAAACCATGTTGTTGGCCGGGTGTGGTGGCTCACGCCTGTAATCCAAACACTTTGGAGGCCAAGGCAGACAGATCACCTGAGGTTGGGAGTTCAAGACCAGCCTGACCAACATGGTGAAACCCCGTCTTTAAAAAATGAAAAAAAAAAAAAAAAGATCCAAGATGGCCAATCGCTAACATCCCGGGATTGCAACTCTCAGGGAAGGCGCGGAGAACTAGAGGACGCCATACTTTCAGACAAATTCTGGTCGCTCACGGAGCAGAAGATCCCCCAGTGGAGGAAACACACGGGTGGACAGCGCAACTCTCGTGGCTCGCGCAGCGGTTCCGCCGGCACCTCGGCGCGGCAGCTCTCGGAGCAGAGTAAACGGGACCGGTTCCCCTTCTGACGGAGGTTTGGAGCCCCGGGAAGGCAGAGTCACCTACTACGGACACAAGAAGGAAGCCCGACAGGAGAATCCTGGGCAGAAAAGCACCATCAGTTTTAACGCTGCTGCTCTGGCCCTGGGAACTAACAGCCTGGACGTCCACTCAAGAGACCTAATCTGAAAGTTGGTAATTTCAAAGACGACAGGAGGATAAATTTACAACGATGGGAAGAAACCAGTGTAAAAAGGCTGAGAATACTCAAAATCAGAATGCCTCTCCCTCTAAAGATGATCACAGTTCCACATCAACAAGGGAACAAGACTTGATGGAGAACAAGCGCATCCCAATGACAGAATCAGGCTTCACGGAATGGATAATAAGAAACTTCTGTGAGTTAAAAGAACATGTTGTAGCCCAACGTAAAGAAACTAGGAACTTTGAAAAAAGGTTTGACGAAATCCTATTGAGAATAGACAACTTAGAGAGGAATATAAGTGAATTAATGGAACTGAAGAATACAATACAGGAACTCCGAGAAGTATGCACAGGTTTAAACACTCGAATTGTTCAAGCAGAAGAAGGGATATCAGAGGTCAAAGTCCAACTTAATGAAATAAAACGTGAAGAAAAGATTAGAGAAAAAAGGATAAAAAGGAATGAGCAAAGTCTCCAAGAAATGTGGGACTATGTGAAAAGACCAAATCTTCGTTTGATAGGTGTACCTGAATGCGGCAGAGAGAATGAATCCAAGCTGGAAAATACCCTTCAGGATATTGTTCAGGAAAATTTTCCTAAACTAGCAAAGCAGGTCAACATTCAACCCCAGGTAATACAGAGAACACCACAAAGATATTCCTCAAGAAGAGCAACCCCAAGGCACATAATCGTTAGATTCACCAGGGTTGAAACGAAGGAGAAAATACTAAGGGCAGCCAGAGAGAAAGGTCAGATTACCCACAAAGGCAAGCCAATCAGACTTACAGAAGATCTCTCAGCAGAAACTCTGCAAGCCAGAAGAGAGTGGGGGCCAATATTCAACATCCTCAAAGAACAGAACCTTCAGCCCAGAATTTCATATCCAGCCAAACTAAGCTTCACAACTGAAGGAAAAATAAAATCTTTTATGAACAAGCAAGAACTCAGAGATTTTATTACCACCAGGCCTGCTTTACAAGAGCTTCTGAAAGAAGCATTACACACAGAAAGAAACAACCAGTATTAGCCTTTCTAAAAATACACCAAAAAGTAAAGAGCACCAACATAAAGAAGAATTTACACCAACGAATGGATAAAACAGCCAGTCAACATCAAATGGCAGTAACCCTAAATTTAAACTGACTAAATTCCCTAATCAAAAGACACAGCCAAAACCCAATGGCATGTTACATCCAGACCTGTTTCACATGCAAGGATACACAAAGACTCAAAACAAAGGGATGGAGAAAGATTTACCAACCAAATGGAGAGCAAAAATAAATAATAAATAAATAAAAAGCAGGAGTTGCAAATCTCGTATCGGATAAAATAGATTTTAAAGCAACAAAGATATAGTGGTAAACAGATCAATGCAACAACAAGAGCTAACGATCCTAACACCCAGATACGAGACTTAGATTCAATGAGACAGAAAATTAATAAGGATATCAAGGACTCGAACTCAGATCCAGAACAACTAAACTTAATAAATATTTATAGAGCTCTCCACTTCAAATACACAAAATATACATTTTAGTCAATACCACACCACACCTACCCATAAGTTTAAATGAAACATTGATGGGCCATTATTAATACCCAATTTTTTTCAAAATAAAGCAATATTTCCATTTACTCTCCCTCTTTCTTTTCCTCTTTCTTCCTCTCCTTTACTTATTTTTTTTTTCTTTCTCTCAAAAAAAAGAAATCAACTTGTAAACCTCTAGATCCAGGTCGGCAATGTCTCTCTCATTGCTTGATTCCCTTCCTTCCCTTCCCTCCCTCCCTCCCTCCCTCCCCGCTTCCTCCCTTCCTCCCTCCCTTCCTCCCTTCCTTCCTCCCTACCGTCCTTCTTCTCTCCCTTCCTGCCTTCCTCCGCCCCACCCAAAAAAAAAAAAAAAAAAATCATGTTGTTATAATATCTAAGTTATATTAATAAGTTATAATAAACAAGAACATAAGTTCTGTACAACAGCATGATATTTCTAAGCCTCAGTTTTCTGTACCATTGGCTTCTCCAAACCTGTAGCACACCACATCAACATCTGACAAAGTCACTCTAACCTCAGCTATGAAAACAGAGCATTCAGGAGAAAAATCCTCTTTTTAGATATACAAAGCTTTTACCACTTTTACAACTAATATTCAGTCTGCCTTCCTAATATCCTGACAACAGGCAGTCTAATACACAGTGTGATCTCAAGAAGTAATGACTCACATTTGTAGAGCACTTTACAAAGCACTTTTACAGACAAATGCTGAGAATCTGAAAATTCCATTCTCCTTTTTACTGTCAAATGATATTGTGCCAAGGGACTCAAATATGTTTCAGGAAGAGAGATCTTTTATTAAAGCTGGCAGACATTTCACTGTCACCAATTCTAGGATCTCCAGAGTGCCATTTGCCATTTGGATAGATTATAAATAGTAACTGACATGATTTATGCCAACGAACACGTAATCTTATTTAGAAAGTCAGATTCTCAGTTCCTATATTCTTTTTGAAAATAGCAAGACAGATTAACTTTCACCCAAAGGGAATTTTTTAATTATTATTTTTAACTTTAGAGTACAGAAAGGATATAGATGTACAAAAACAATAAACCTAACTTTAAAAGTATAAAATCAAGCATATATTTAAATGTCCCAAAAACTCCTGTCTAGTTTTCATATCACTCTTAAGTGGATGTGGGAAAAATTACTGAAAAGAAAAATGACAGGTGAACAGTGATTTAGTTACAAATGACTTTTTCCTTTACATCATTCTGTATTTTCCAAATATCACACACTGAACATGTATTAAAATTTTGTAAGGAGAAAAATACTACCTATCATTTTTTAGTATACATTAATTCTCTCTTTTTTAAAAAAAATTAGCCAGGAGTGGTGACTCATGCCTCTTAGCACTTTGGGAGGCCGAGGTGGGCAGATCACCTGAGGTCAGGAGTTCAAGACTAGTCTGGCCAACATGGCAAAACCCCATCTCTACTAAAAATACAAAAATTGGCCGGGCATAATGGTGGGCGCCTATAATCCCAGTTACTCAGGAGGCTGAGGTGGGAGAATCACTTGAACTGGGGGAGGAGGTTGCAGTGAGCCACAAGATTGCGCCATTGCCCTCCAGCCTGGGCAACAAGAGCGAAACTCGGTCTCAAAAGATAGATAGATAGATAGATAAATAAAATAGCCAGGTGAGGTGGCTCACGTCTGTAATCCCAGCACTTTGGGAGGCTGAGGCAGAAGGATCACTCAAGGTCAGGAGTTCAAGACCAGCATGGGTAACATGGTGAAACTCTGCCTTTGATAAAAATACAAAATTAGCCAGGCATGGTGGCATGCGCCTGTAATCCCACCTACTTAGGAGGCTGAGGCAAGAGAATCACTTGAACCTGAAGGCGGAAGGTGCAGTGAGCTGAGATGGTACCACTGCACTCCAGCCTGGGTGACACAGTAAGGCTCTGTCTCAAAAAAAAGAAAAAAAAAAAAAAATTAAAGGAAAAGAGTATTTTCTTCAGTGTGCCCTCCATGGTAGAAAAAAAAAGAAAAAAAGTATTTTCCTGATAATTCTTACTATAAAAACTTCCTTTTCATTAAAATGGTGCTGAGATCCCTACATTACAAAAAAAAAAAAAAAAAAAGCAACACCTGCCTCACATTGAAGTGCCTGCATCTGTCGGCATCCTTTCAATCACCATCTCAAACATGTAATTCCTTTCGAGGACAGCAGTGGGCACTCTGTGACCCTTTAAAGGCCGACACTTGAATCCTGGTGTCTTCCACTTCAGCTCTTACGAAAGCCATGACAGATAATAACCCAATAATCACATCCAACGATACAAAATGAAGCATCTGGTAATGTTGACAGTTATGAAGCCTACTCAGTCAATACACAAGAGTTTAATTAAAGAATCCGTTACAATGCTCTAAACTGCTCCAACCCGAACCTTTGTATCAAAGCAACTTAATTTATATAAGCAAGTTTGACAGGGTCAGTAGGAGAAAGCTCAGGAAGTCTGGAAAAAATATAAAGACATAAATCATACTCACTCTAATTAAAGTCAGTCTCATTTCACTCTCACCAAAACTCACTGAAACATTTTAACAAACAAATGAAAGCGTTAACTGAATGGCCTCAACAGTAAAGTTAGCTTTGCTAATAACCTAATACTGTGTGCACCTACAGACTGTGGACCTGCTTTTGATTTTGTTATTCAATTTAGATATTAAAATGCATGCAAACCCACATCAATAACCAGGAGTCAGCCGTCTACTGGTTTCATGTGGGGGAACAATGAGTCCTCCCAGGAAAACAGCAGCCCCGTGATGAAACAGCGAGCAACTCTAGGCAGCAAAGTCTCTCTGGGCTCTCTGAGGAAAAACACAGCAACAGTTGAAGTGCCTCTTGATGGCTGAAACCAACCCTTCACTCACCCAGTAGAACAGCCATTCCTTTAGGCACCCAGTGAAATACAAAAGATCACTAAATGCTGTAAAAAGACACTCCGTAGAGACCAATGGAACAAAACAGAGGTACCGGAGGCAACACAACATATATACAACTATACGATCTTTGATAAACCTGACAAAAACAAGCAATGGGGTAAGGATTCCCTGTTTAACAAATGGTGTTGGGAAAACTGGCTAGCCATGTGCAGAAAGCAGAAACTGGACCCCTTCCTGACACCTTACACTAAAATTAACTCCAGATGGATTAAAGACTTAAACATAAGACCTGGCACCATAAAAACCATAGAATAAAATCTAGGCAAAACCATCCAGGACATAGGAGTAGGCAAGGACTTCATGAACAAAACACCAAAAGCATTGGCAACAAAAGCCAAAATAGACAAATGGAACCTAATGAAACTCCACAGCTTCTGCACGGCAAAAGAAACTGTCACTAGAGTGGATTGGCAACCAACAGAATGGGAAAAAATTTTTGCAGTTTACCCATCTGACAAAGGGCTGATATCCAGAATTTACAAAGAACTCAAACGGATTTACAGGAAAAAAACAAACAAGCCCATTCAAAAGTGGGCAAAGGATATGAACAGACACTTTACGAAAGAAGACATATATGAGGCCAACAATCATATGAAAAAATGCTCATCGTCACTGGTCATCAGAGAGATGAAAATCAAAACCACATTGAGATACCATCTCACGCCAGTTAGAATGGCGATCATTAAAAAATCTGGAGACAACAGATGCTGGAGAGGATGTGGAGAAAAAGGAACACTTTTACACTGTTGGTGGGAGTGTAAATTAGTTCAACCATTGTGGAAGACAGTGTGGCGATTCCTCAAGGCCTTAGAAATAGAAATTCCATTTGACCCAGCAATCCCATTACTGGGTATATATCCAAAAGACTATAAATCGTTCTACTATAACGACACATGTACACGAATGTTCACTGCAGCACTGTTTACAATAGCAAAGACCTGGAATCAACCCAAATGCCCATTGATAATAGACTGGATTGGAAAAATGTGGCACATATACACCATGGAATATTATGCAGCAATCAGAAATGATGAGTTTGTGTCGTTTGTAGGGACATGGATGAATCTGGAGAACATCATCCTCAGCAAACTGACACAAGAACAGAAAATGAAACACCGCATATTCTCACTCATAGGCGGGTGATGAAAAATGAGAACACAGGGACACAGAAAGGGGAGTACTAAACACTGGGGTCTATCGGGGGGAAAAGGGGAGGGCCAGTGGGAGGGGGAGGTGGGGAGGGATAGCCTGGGGAGAAATGCCAAATGTGGGTGAAGGGGAGAAGAAAAGCAAAGCACACTGCCATGTGTGTACCTACGCAACTGTCTTGCATGCTCTGCTCATGTACCCCAAAACCTAAAATCCAATAAAAAATTAAAAAAAAAAAAAAAAAAAAAAGACACTCCGGCATCCAAGCTGATTACCAAGAGCCACATCTCCAGAAGACAGACGCTGCAGGACATACTGTCTGAAGTTATTTAGTGAATGTTTTGTTTTCTGTTGTTCCAAAATGTCAAGTTGGGAGAGCAACAGAGAAAATGCCACATAAAAACACAGCATGCTACCTCCTTGACAATCTAAAATGCAGTAACTTCACTGAAGTGAGTTCTCTGGAATGTTGGCTATGAAACTTACTTGAACAATATTTTCACTTATTAATTTAGGCATTCATTGTTTCCAACAAGACTATGGCTAAGGACTTCAACTAGATATATCAGAAAATAGAGTAAAATGTCAAGGGAAACAGAAAGGGAAGGAAAGCTGCACATCTGGACACTGGATTACATTATTTCATATTTAATTTTTCAGTTTATACAATTGTGTAATTTCAGGTAACAGAGCAGTGAAAGAAAACAGCAAAAGCTTTAGCAGAATTTAGCTACAAGATACCACCAAGCAAGGGAGATAACAAATTCTCTCCCCACCATCACCCTTAAGAAAACACCCTGCAGAAGTTATATACATCAGCAGAAGCAGCTGTTTTCCCAGAGCTTGGCATAATTAAAGCTCAGCCACCACCATCTGAGGTGCTTGAATATATCTGCTATGACTTGCCTCTCCCTGAGGAGCTGTAGCTGAAACCGATTTGCTAGTTTCATCAATTCCGTCAGGAACACATCATCCTCTCTGAAGTCCAACTCGTCCGTATAGATCCAGTGAAGCATTGTCATCGTCACCTCAGGGTTAGCATCTGGTTAAACAAAGCAAAAGAATAACTGAAAAAGCACTGAATGACATGCTCAGACTTTCTCGAGGGACCCCTAAAATTGGAGGCTAATAAATTATGGTATACCCAACTTAAAGAAATATTACACAGCCATTAAAAATGGTGACTAAGCAGTCTGGGCAGCATCTGACAGTGAGCAGTGAGTGGTGAAGTGAACCTACTAAACATCTGTTGAATAAATTGGGGAAAACATTTGAAACCTCTGACAAAGACTTCACATTCTTTTTTTCTATTGAGACAGGGTCTCACTAAGTCCCCCAGGCTGGAATGCAGTGGCAGTCACACCTCACTGAGGCCTCGAACTCCCTGGGCTCAACTGATCCTTCCACCTCAGCCTCCTGAGTAACTGGGACGACAGGTGCACACTAGCATGCCAGGTTAATTTTTGTATTTTGTAGAGACAGGGTTTCACCGTATTGCCCAGACTGGTCTCAAAATCCTCCTGCCTTGGCCTCCCGAAGTGTTAGGATTACAGGAGTAAGCTGCTTCCCCAGCCGGAGCTCACATTCTTTATAATAAAAATACCTTACAAATAAAAAGACGGACACCCAGTGGAAAAATGGGCAATGGATATAAATAGGTAGTTCACAAAGATAAATAATGGTCAATAAACCTTATTGACAACCAAACACAAATTTAAACCGGAGTACATTTTATCTCTCCGACCAGCAAAGATGTTTTTAAAGAACATAACCTTTTACATAGCAACTACATATGTAGATTATTATCCTAAGACAATAATTGGACAAACACAGAAAAACATGTGTACTAAGATGCTCAACACAGTATCATTAATAATGAAAAACTAGACCAAAGAGTCCAACAATGGAGAGCTAATTAAATTACAATATACATACACACTGGAAAAATGCAATTAAAACTATGCAGATATATGTTCAACATAAGAGATTTAATACATAGGCTTTTTGAAAAGTCGGCTAAAAATACTTGTATAAGATCTCATTGGCTCGGTGCAGTGGCTCATGCCTGTCTCAAAGCTTTGGGAGGCCAAGGTGGCGGATGGCTTGAGCCCAGGAATTCAAGACCAGTGCAGGTGATACAGTGAAACCCTGTCTTTACAAAACATACAAAAATTACACCAAATTCTCAGAAATCACCACCAAAGAACTTACCCATGTAACCAAACACCACCTGTCCCCCAAAAACTACAGAAATAAGAAGAAATTAAACTAAAAACACAAAAATTAGCTGGGCACATATCATTAGTGGTGGCATGTGCCTGTAGTCACAGCTACTCAGGGGGCCAATGTGGGAAGGTAAACTGAACCCAGGAGGTTGAGGCGGCACCAAGCCGTGACTGCACCACTGCACTCCAGCATGGATGACAGAACAAAACCCTGTCTCCAAAAAACAAAGAAAAAGGAAAAAAAATAGGTCTTGCTTTTTGTACATATACTCGTGTGCATGCACGCATACATATATATATGTAATATGCTACATACTACACACTACACACTATACACATTGAGAGACACACACACCCACATTTTTCTGTGTCCGTCTCTCAAGAGATTAGTAGGATACATACTAAAATATCAACCCAGGGATAATTTATAACGAATTTTTCTTTTAGCTTAATTTTACTGTTAGGTTTATTTTTACTTAAGGAACATGAATTACTTGTGCAATCTTTTTAAGTTAAAATAAAGACTGTACAGCCACTTGGGGAAATGCTTGGGATGAGAATCATAGTACAAAATATCTAAACTGTTATTTCATCTAGAGTTAACTCTTGACTAGTCAGAATAAGAAGAATGATGGTTAGAAGAATACTTAAAATCATGGTCAACACAAGTAATTCTCAAGGTGTGGTCCTGGGCTAGGAGATTCAGCCTCAATCTGAGAACTTACTAGAAATCTGATTCTTGGCCAGACGTGGTGGCTCATGCCTATAATCCCAGCACTTTGGGAGGCCGAGGCGGGAGGATCACGAGGTCAAGAGATCAAGACCATCCTGGTCAACATGGTGAAAGCCTGTCTCTACTAAAAATACAAAAATTCGCTAGGTGTGATGCCGTGCACCTGTAATCCCAGCTACTCGGGAGGCTGAGGCAGGAGAATTGCTTGAACCAAGGAGGCAGAGGTTGCAGTGAGCCAAGATCACGCCACTACACTCCAGCCTGGTGACAGAGCAAGACTCCATCTCAAAAAAAAGGACAAGAAATTCACTCTGTGACTCAGATTAAGCAGCCTAAGGGTAGGCAAAGAACAATGAATAGGAAGGAGGGTGTGTGCTACAACTGTGTACTTTTGGGTAAATTGTCCAGCCTATCTGCTTCCAATCTACTTAAGCAAGTGGTGGTAAAAGATAGATGACTGCATAAAACAGGAGTTTGCTCTAAAAGGAGTAGCCTTGGAAGAGAAAGGAGTTGGCCTCTGAGTCCTGCGTGATGGAGGTAATCATCCCCTCAGAAGGCCCGGCATGCAAGCCAGAACACTCAGTGACGTCAAGGATAAAAAGCAAAGTAACACTCAAACTGCTGACTCTGTTTCACTGCAGTTCAGGATGGACATAAACATACTTTGGAGACCTTAGGATTTTCCATGTGGCCTAGTTTTTGTTTTGATTTGAATTTTAAGTAAGAGTTTTGCAAGACATCTGAAAAGGATGGGAATAAACTGATCTGTATGCAAATAACCATTAAATGAAACATACTGAGTAAATGACTTTGTTTTTACTTTATTTTCTTTCTTTAGGGACAGAGTCACTGTTGCCCAGGCTGGAGTACAGTGGTGCAATCACAGCTCACTACAGCCTCAATCTTGAAGGCTCAATCGATTCTCCCACCTGACCCTGCCAAGTAAGTGGGACTATAGACACATACCCCCGCGCCTGGCTAATTTTCATATTTTTAGTAGAGACAGTTTTGCCATGTTGCCCAGGCTGGCCTTGAACTCTTGGCCTTACGCAATACTCCTGCTTCGGCCTCCCAAAGTGCTGGGATTACAGGCATGAGCCATAGTACCTGGCTGACATTGTTTTTAAATCCTCTGTTTTTAATCTGTGAAAAGCTGAGAAAGGTGTTCTGAATCTCCTATTATGACTCTGGTTTAATTAAATTCTCTGAGTTTCCAACCATTTTTTTCTTTCTTTGGGCGGGGTGGGGTGGTCAGAGTCTCACTCTGTTGCCCAGGTTGGAGTGCAGTAGCAGAATCTCTGCTCACTGCAACCTCCACCTCCCAACTTCAAGCGATTCTCCTGCCTCAGACTTTCAAGTAGCTGAGACTGCAGAAGCACATCACCACACCTGGCTAATTTCTGTATTTTTGTAGCAATGAGGGCTGGTCTTGAACTCCTGACCTAAGATGATCTGCCCACGACAGCATCCCGAAGTGCTGGGATTATAAACGTGAGCCACCATGCCCAGCCCTGTTTATTTCTTAATCTACTTCACATAAAAATTTGTTTCATAAAATTAAAAACTCTTGGCAGACTGTATCATCTTTATCAATAAAAAACATCCTCTTTAGTCAGTTTAAGGATGTATCCTTAAATATAACCTCCTGGAAATAAAATTAAACCTCAAACCATATTTCTAAATAATCTCTGGCTCAAAAAGAAATAAAAGGACAGAGGCCCTAGTTCTGTTATGGCAGTAGAACAACTCATCCCAATTTAACTGATTATAGCCAAAAACTCTGGACATGGTACAAAATAACAACCTAAAGACTTGGAAAAGTCAACAAAAGCAGGTGAAGTGAGGGGGAGGCAAAACTTGAAGCAGCAACTTCAGGGGATGAATTTCTGCAGGGGATGAATTTCCCCAAGGCTTTGCCTGAGGGTGGACCTTCAGTAAAGGAGTAGAACTGCCTCAGTGACCCTGGGGATGGCTAAAAATGCCATCTTTCTGGACAAAAAAGTAAGAGGAGAATTCCAGAGTGAAGAGAGCCAGAGAAGGAGATCTGATAATTCTGTGAATGAACCCACACAAGCCTCAGGCTCCCTCTGACTTACTCATAGTGAAATAGCCCCAACCCAGCTTTAAGAACTGAAGTGATGTGTAAATACCAACTCACAGAAGGTGAAACAGAACTTGTGGTCTGGACCTGAAGAGATTCAACATTTTCCAGAGGTTATACAGGACCCAGAGTCAACACAGCATAACAGAACATGCCACAATGTACATAATATAATCGAAAATTATTTTTTGGCATAGAAAGAACTAGGAAAATGTGAGAAGTATCTCCTGAGAAGTATCTCAGGAGAACAGACAATCAACAGATACCAACCCCTAAATGACCGAGATGTTGGATTTATCCAAGAGTTGAAAACATTAGGTATAACTATGCTCCAGGAGTTAAAGGAAAATACACTTGACATGCAAAGACGAACACTTCAGTAGATAAACTATAAAAAAGAACAAAGGAAATTATAGAACAGAAAAAATTAAAATATGCAGTAAAACTCATTCAACAGACTCAAGAGCAGAATAAAAATTGCAGGAGACAAAGTCAGTGAACAGTTAGGTCAACGGAAATTACCCAATCTGAAGAGAGAAAAAAAAGACAGAGACTCAAGGAGACCCACGGGATAGTAATGAAAAGTCTACTATATGAGCCATTTGAGTGTCACAGGGAGAGACGAAAGAGATTAGAGAAGAAAAATATCTAAAACCTTCCTAATTTGGCAAAGGATCGTATGTTTACAGATTCAAGAAGATTAGTGAACTCCAAACAAGAAGAAAATCATATCCAGACACATTATAATCAAGCTGCTGAAAACTAACCATAAAGAAAAAGCCCTGGCCAGGCGCCATGGCTCACGCCTGTAATCCCAGCACTTTGGGAGGCCGAGGTGGGTGGATCACCTGAAATCAGGAGTTCAAGACCAGCCTGACCAAAATGGCAAAACCCTGTCTCCACTAAAAATACAAAATTAGCCAGGCATGGTGGTGGCTGCCTGTAATCACAGCTACTCAGGAGGCTGAGGTAGGAGAATGGCTTGAACCCAGGAGGGGGGGTTGCAGCAAGCCGAGATTGCACCACTGCACTCCAGCCTGGGCAACAGTGAGACTCCGTATCATAAAAAAAAAAAAAAAAAAAAAGAGAGAGATAAAATAGAGTAATTCAACTCAAAAAGAAAAAATAAATGAATTCCAAAGAAAGATTTAATATAGAGAAAATTACTGAATTGGCTAAATATAAATAAAAATTAAAAGAACAATTAACCTAAACCAAATCTGCTTATTTGTTTTAAGCCAACAAAAGACAACAAACTTAACATAATCAAAGACTGGTGAGAAAAACCCAAAAGCAGTATCAGGATTAAGTAAAGAATATAACCACAGATAAAACAAGATTCTTTTGAGCGCTAAGAGAATCTCTGGACATGGGACTCAGCTGTCGGCAGGAGGCCACAAGGCTGTTTGAATGTCCTCATGACATGGCCGCTAATGTCCCCCAAAGTGAGCAATCTGAAAGAGAGCAAGGAGGAGGCCACAATCCCTTTGATGAAGCCATCTCTCAAGTCACACATGTTCTCACTTCTACCACATTCCACTTACTAAAGGTGAATCAGCCCTTACTGAAAAGGAGAATCTGAATCCACCCTGAAAGGGAGAACTATCAAAGAATTTGTGAGAATATTATTTTTCAGCGAGCACATTCTAAACTTAGCATGGATGTCACTGAAAGAACACAGTATAATTTAATACTGAAACTGAACAGCCTTGAGCTAGTAGTTCATACAGTAGCCAACAGATGTTGAATACTGCTATGCTTCTCTTAAAAATTTAAATATCACACAGCTCCCCTGAGTTTGCTGAAGCATTTGGGGGTGCCTCAGCACAGAGTTTGGGAAACTATGCCCTCCCACTGCACAGTGCAAGCTTTCCAGGCCATTCTTCAAGGTACAACTTTCCCAACCAGAATGAAAGGAATCAAGGAGGATGCTTTCTGCCATCTGGAATGGCTTGACACTACCCAGCACACATTCCAGGAGAGCTGAATGACTCACACCATGAGCTCTTAAGCCAAGGAACTGTAAGATCTTTGCTTGAGAAAGCATGCAACAAACTTTAGCTTCAAAACAGCCATTCTAATCCACTGGAACCTCTCACCATGTCAGCTGCTATTGGTAAAGCGCTACAGAGAGGCTATAAACAGATCATTTTGCTAGAAGTAAATTACTTTATTTCACAGAGAAGTAATACTCTCCTTGTGGACTCAGATTTGTTATGCTTTGTTGAACTAACAGTCATATTCTTTCTCTTCCCACTTGGTCAGTTATCTTTATAACCTTTTATCTTTTATTCTTTCTTATTAGGGTAGACAAAAATTATATAGAGTTAATAATGTTTTGATACATGTATACATGAAAAATGTATACATGTTTTGATATATGTATACATTATGAAATGGTTATAATAAGCTAATTAACATATCTATCACTTAACATATTTAAAAATATCTTAATAAGAAATAAAAAAGCAAATTTCTACTTGACTTACATTTTCAGACACTTTCATACTTATTGCAAAGCTGCAGGGCATTCCCATATGCCCTTTACTCATCTTCCCCTAATACCAAGACAGCTTATTTAACCACAGTACAATTATCAAAATTCTACATATTACCTATTACTATTACAATACCAATACTATTAACTAATTATAGGCTCTATTTTGCCAGTTTTACCAGTAATACCCTTTTTATGGACAGAATTCCAACTGAGGATTCTACTAGGCTGGAGTGCAGTGATGCAATCCTGGCTCACTACAACTTGCGCCTCCCAGGTTCAAGTGATCCTCCTGCCTCAGCCTCCCAAGTAGCTGGGACTACAGGTGCATGCCACTACACCCAGCTAATTTTATATATATATATATATATATATTTTTTTTTTTTTTTGAGACGGAGTTTCACTCTTGTTACCCAGGCTGGAGTGCAATGGCGCGATCTCGGCTCACCGCAACCTCCGCCTCCTGGGTTCAGGCAATTCTCCTGTCTCAGCCTCCTGAGTAGCTGGGATTACAGGCACGCGCCACCGTGCCCAGCTAATTTTTTTGTACTTTTAGTAGAGACGGGGTTTCACCATGTTGACCAAGATAGTCTCGATCTCTTGACCTTGTGATCCACCCGCCTCGGCCTTCTAAAGTGCTGGGATTGATTACAGGCGTGAGCCACCGCACCTCGTCCCATTCTTGTTTTTCATAACCTTGACATGCTTGAGGAACACTGGCTGATTATTTTGAGAAAGGTTCCTCAATTTGGGTCTGATGTTTTCTCATGATTAGATTGAGGTTATGCATTAATGGCAAAAATCCTATAGAAAAGCCAGGCACAGTGGCTCATGCCTGAAATCCAGCACTTTGGGTAGCCAAGGCAAGAGGATCATTTGAGCCCAGGAGTTTGAGACCAGCCTTGGCTAGCAAGACCCCATCTCTACTAAAAAATTAACCAGGCATGGTGTTGCACACCTGTACTCCCAGCTACCTGAGAGGCTGAGGTGGGAGGATCTCTTGAGCCCAGGAGTTCAAGGCTGCAATGAGCCACAACAGTGTCACTGCATTCTAGCCTGGGCAACAGAGTGAGACCCTATCCCAAAAACAAACAAACAAAAAAGAATCCTACAGAAGTGATTGTGCCTTTATCAGTGGATCACATCAGGTGCAAACATTTCACTTTTTTGAACAAGGTATGATTCATATACCCAAACACCTTTATAGTACATAATGCCTGTTGTATTTCATCAACATGTGCTAAAATTCTCGTAATTAAGGCTGTGTGCAGTGGCTCACACTTGTAACCCCAACTCTTTGGGAGGCCAAAGCAGGAGCATTTCTTGAGTCCAGGAGTTCAAGACCAGCCTGGGCAACATGGCAAAACCCTATCTATACAAAAAAATGAGCAAGGTATGGTAGCACATGCCTGTAGTCCCAGATACTTGGGAGGCTGAGGTGGGAGGACTACCTGAGGCCAGGAGATCAAGGCTGCAGTCAGCCATACATAATTGCACCACTACACTCTAGCCTGGGTAAATCTTAAAAAAAAAAAAAAATCTCAAAAAAGAAATCATAACTAACAGCAGGATTAAACTTGTTTTTAATCTTAAGAAATATCAGGACTGAGGGCAGTGGCTCACACCTGTAACCCCAGCACGCTGGGACGCCGAGGTGAGCAGATCACCTGAGTTTGGGAGTTTGAGACCAGCCTGACCAACATGGAGAAACCCCATCGCTATTAAAAATACAAAATTTGTAAGGCGTAGTGGCACATGCCTGTAATCCCAGCTACTTGAGAGGCTGAGGCAGGAGATTTGCTTGAGCCCAGGAGGCAGAGGTTGCAGTGAGCCAAGATCATGCCATTGCACTCCAGCCTGGGTAACAACAGTGAAACTCCATCTCAAAAAAAAAAGAAAAAAAAGAAGAAAAATTAGGCAAGATCTTGAAAAGAAACATGTGGAGGTTTTCTTACATTCTAAGATGTAAGTTTTGTGCAAGCAAGAATTTAACTTTGTACACTTTGTATCCCTAGCACCTTAAACAGTGCTTACCACTCAGTATTTGTTATATGAATGGATTAATGTTGAAAAAACAAAACACCAATAAATTCACTAAATGATTTTATCAAAACTGTTGGTGTGGAAAACACTTGGGTATTTAAAACATAGCTTTTGTACTATTTATACACCTGTTACAAGAACCTATTTCCAATCTTCCTCAAATTGCTGGCCAGCCACGAAGTGCTAGTGCTCACAGGTTTCACATAACACACAGGCTTCCCAGCCAGTCCCAGAAACCGCAACCCCAGGTTTAGGCAATCACACATCCACCTAGGCAGTGAGCAGGACTGCTGGACAAAGCACACAATTAAACACGAAAAGGTCCACACGTGCCACTACCACCCTGGACCTCTCCCCCATAACACATTTCAAAGATACCGCTCATAAAAATGTCATAAACAGTAAAAATGCCACATGTTCTCCCATCAGCTATCTTCACAGATACCTGATCTACCAAAGACACAAAAACCATTTGCTTTGAAGCAGATCACTCCTGAAATAAACCTTATAGTAGGATCAAAACACACTTACTATTTACAACTGGAGCGAGTCTACAGACATTTGAAGACATCAACAATTTATTGTCCTCAACTCAAAAAAACTTCCTGACTCACAGTGATGCAATCTTGTGGCAAGACAGCACTGAATTAAGCTCTAAATGTTTAGATGTACTAAAAAAGTTCAGTGAAAAGCAAAATTTTTTAATTCGATGTTTAAATTGGCTTTTTATTCCTTAATGTAATTTTCAGTGTTGTGCAATTTTGTTTGTTCCAGAGAGCAGCCATGTTTTATTTTTCCCACTCTCATTCATTTTTGTTGCAATCAATATTTCACCATTACAAATAAAACTGAGGAACATTAAAACTGTCTGAGTTACCTATGATAGATTCCCAGAAGACACATAATGAAGAAAAAAAAAGTAAGACTATTTCACCGCTCAGCTGCCTAATTGCTTTCTAAAACTATCATATCTACTTATAATGTCACTGGCAATGTACAAGAATACCAATTTCATGAGCCTCACAACTACTGGGATCATCAATTTTTGATTATATAGCTATCAAAAGATGGTAGCTTATTCTTAACTTTTTTCTAACAAAGTTGAATATTTTCCATATATTATCTTCTAGACTTCAAAAACATTTTGTTCATATAATCAAGATCCTATCATACATTTTGCGAAAAACACCAAATGATCTTATGAATTTTAAAAGGTGTCCATAATTTTGTTATATATGAGGTCAAAGATATACGGCTTCAAAACATTACGCTTTAAAAAAAAAAAAAAGCTATGCCTTGAGATTTCGATCACATGAACTGATGCCCTTCCAGGAAAACACTATTTCCCAGGCAGATGTTTTTAGTCACTGGTATGCAGGTATACACACGGGTTGGTGTATATGTGTATCTGTATCTGTAACTTTTAGTTACGGATCTCAAGTTAAATCCTAGAAATTATCATAAAGAGACAGAGTTCACTCACAGTTGGGGAACACTGAGATATGCTCCCCTTAGTCCGTGAGATAAGTGCCTACTTCGCCTTTACAACACTACTCAGGTATTAGCCACCTATGCAACCGTCCTTCATCACCCCAACTGAGTCTCTTCTCAACCTTACATGTAAGCGAATCACATTTCTGTATGTAGAGCCCTGGTCTGAAATGACTTGTTCGTGGCCTGCTTCCTCCAGCAGAGTATGGGCTCCATATGGCAGGGACTGCGTCATCACCCCAGTGATGCTGGCACTGCACATGGAAAATAGTGCCTTCTGCACTGACAAACCTTCTAAACAAAGATGTAACTCACTCAGACAAGCACTTCAGCAAGTATGGTCATGAGCAGCGTAACTATGTTTGGTCAACAACAGACTGCAGATACAATGCTGGTCCCATAAAATTATAAAACGGTATTTTTGCTGACGTTTTCTATGTTTAGATATGCAAATACTTACCACCGTGTTACTGCTGCCTATGGCATCCAGCACTGTACAGGGTTGTAGCCCAGTAGCCACAGACTATGCCATAGCACCTAGGCATGTAGCAGGCTCTACCATGTAGACTTGTGTAAATATACTCTATGATATTCCCACACCAAAACCACGTAATGACACATTTCTCAGAACACATCCCTGTCGTTCTCCTCACCATATAATTCTCACGAATATTAACAGTAGAATTAAATTAAAACTTTGCTCTTTGCCCCTTTTTCCCAATAGCAGTCAGGCAAGTACTAAATGAAAAATGAAACTTTCAGGTCAACTTTTGAAAACGATTGTTTTTTAGTCCACTTGCCACCCTATTTGCTTCAATCACACACACGCCCAAATATACACATACACACACATGATGTAAAACAAATAATAACATTAAATAAGCCAATGTAGCTATTTTTTTTTGAGACAGGGTCTTGCTCTGTTGCCCAGGCTAGAATGCAGTGGTGACATCATAGCTCACTGTGGCCTCAAACTCTTGGCTCAAGAAATCCATCCACGTTAGATTTCCAACAAGCTGGGGCTACAGGCACATGCCATCATGTCAAGCTGATTTTTTTTTTTTTAATTTGCTATAGAGGCAGGGTCTTGCTACATTGCCCAGACTGGTCTTGAATTCCTGGGCTCAAGTGATCCTCCTTGGCCTCTCAAAGTGCTAGGATTACAGGCATGAGCCACCATACCCGGCCTTAAAATTCTTTTCAAAAAAGAAAATTGTATATATTTAAGCTATACAACACAATCCTATGAGATACATATATAGTAAAATGGGTACTAAAATGAAGCAGATGAACATATCCACCATCTGATACAGTAACCCACACCTATTAAAATTCTGAAGGCGGGAGCCACGGTGGCTCAGGCCAGTTGTCCTGGAGCTTGAGGAGGCGAGGCTATGAGTTCAAGTCCAACCTGGGCAACATAAGAACCTCTCATTCATTAAAAACAAACAAACAAAAAAAGGCCAGGCGCGGTGGCTCACGCCTGCAATCCCAGCACGTTGGGAGGCCGAGGTGGGTGGATCACAAGGTCAAGAGATCGAGACCATCCTGGTCAACATGGTGAAACTCCGTCTCTACTAAAAATACAAAAAATAAACTGGGCATGGTGGCGCATGCCTGTAATCCCAGCTACTCAGGAGGCTGAGGCAGAATTGCCTGAACCTAGGAGGCGGAGGTTGCAGTGGGCTGAGATCACGCTGTTGCACTCCAGCCTAGGTAACAAAAGCAAAACTCCGTCTCAAAAAAAAAAACCAAAACCAAAACAAAACAAAAAAAATTCTGAAGGCTAATGGTCAACCTTTGATGTTAAAGATAGATTACTATTATTCTTCAGAGTAACTGTTCTGAGTTAAGGCATGTAGTATTAAGTTTCAGGCAATCTGACAGCAGGACTTTTTATTAGATTTGAGGGAAAAATTTTTTCTGCCCAGGAATCCTTATTTGTAGCATACTTTTTCATGAAATGAATATATGGAAAATATTTACATTTGATAAATCATAAGGACATTGCAGATACTCAAATATTTATGATTTGTTAGCCAGGTATTACCTCCTAAAGAGGTAGGTAAACAAAGCACCTAAAAGTATAACCTCCTGATTCATTAATTATTTAACTAGTTCATGGTCACCATCAATTGCTAAGAAAACTATTTTACTTTCATTAAATCACAAATATTTCAAAATAAAACACTGTAACTTTCTGCCGAGAATTCTTCCGCTAGCAGTTTTGTATCCCTCATCACTCAAAGGCTCACCTGATAGGTCCAGCTCCTTAGTGGAAGACAAGTTAGCCAGACTCCAGCTGTCACTGCGGGCTGCCAGGACAAACTTATGAGCATTGATGTGCCTGTCCCCAACCTTTATCTTCAGATCACTGGTGAAGAAAAAGATCCATATATATTAGAAAAATGTCATCCTAATTAAGATTCATAGCTGATAAACACATTGAGTATTGATCAACATCTATCTGCTAAAGAAAAAAATTACAGCAAAAAATTATTTTTATATGCTAGCACTGAATAATGGCATTCTTATGGTGGGGAACCTACAAGTTAAGTGGAATGATTAATAATCACATAAAAAGTACAGGATATTTTATATAGAATAAAACAAAATAGGCCTGGCACGGTGGCTCATGCCTATAATCCTAGCACTTTGGGAGGCCGAGGCAGGTGGATCACGAGGTCAAGAGATCAAGACCACCCTGATCAACAAGGTGAAACCCCGTCTCTACTAAAAATACAAAAATTAGCTGGGCATGGTGGTGCGTGCCTGTAATCCCAGCTACTCGGGAGGCTGAGGAAGGAGAATTGCCTGAACCCAGAAGGCGGAGGTTGTGGTGAGCCGAGATCGTGCCATTGCACTCCAGTCAGGGTAACAATGGCAAAACTCCATCTAAAAAAAAAAAAAAAAAAAGCATAAAACAAAATAGACCGTCAGGGACAGAAAGAAAGAAAGACGGTAAGGACAGCTCTGAGACGACAGTGCTGCTGTGCTCCACAGTAAGCTCAAGCAAGGTTCAGCAGAAAAACCAAGAAGAAACTGACACGCAGTCCAGAACATGAAACCCAACGCCTGGACTCCTGTTCTCACCAGGAACATTCACACCTAACATTATTATAAAAATGTTATATACTTATAAAAAAGGGAGTGAGGAAAAAGCTCTCTTTTCAAAACATGCTTCCATATTTATGACATGCCATTATGTGAAAAGATCTTCCTGAATAGATAATTTATGTTTAACTCAGAAATGTCAAATGCTATTGTAGGAGAGCATCTGGGCAGTTAACAAAAAATGTCAAGATGACCCACAGGGCTGACACGAGCACATGCCATATGGTTATGCTGGCAGGAATCCAAAGTCACTGTCATCATCCTTCTTCTAGTTATATGTTTTATTTTCATATTCAACTTTAAAGTTATTTACTAGGTTGGAAAGTCTTTGGAAACTACACAAAAATCACTATATGGGAAAAAAAAGAAAAAAATATACCATTAAATGAATTAACCCATCCACTTAAAATGAAACCCAAACAGAATACTGTTTGTATGTAACACTGGACAGAGACACATTCTACCCTACAGTATTGTCTAGAGCACGCTTCATCATCATTTGAAAGGATCAACAATTCTAGTTCCATCAAAGACCAAGCTGTAAATTTTGATTTTTTTTTTTTTTGAGACAGAGTCTCATTCAGTCACCCAATGAGCTGCAACCTCAGCTCATTGCAACCTCCACCTCCCAGGTTCAAGCAATTCTACTGCCTCAGCCTCCTGAGTGGCTGGGACTACAGGTGTGTGCCATCACCCTTGGCTAATTTTTGTATTTTAGTAGAGATGGGATTTTGTCATGTTGGCTCTCAAACTCCTGACCTCAGGTGATCCACCTGCCGTGGCCTCCCAAAGTGCTGGGATTACAGGCATGACCTGTTTAAAATGTCCTAATTTATTTGAAAATTTTACTAAGTCTTACCTAGTCTGAGCTTCTCTCTCCCAAGTGGCTCAAGTCCTTCCTTCTTACGTATATTCACAACTGGGTTTCTTTGCCATGTCCAGCATCCCAATTCAGTCTTTCATCTTTGCTGGTCTGGACTATATGCAATATCACAGGTGCTTGCCCTGATCTTTTCTCTTTACAATTTCACCCACATGACATTAGCATGGTAATCTCTTTTTATTTTAAAAACAGGGTCTCTCTCTGTTGCCCAGGCTGGAGGACAGTGGTATAATCTTGGCTCACTGCAACCTCCACCTCCCGGGTTCAAGCAATTCTCCTGCCTCAGCTTTCCAAGTAGCTGGGATTACAGGCACCCGCCACCATGCCCCGCTAATTTTTGTATTTTTAGTAGAGACGGCGTTTCACCATATCAGTCAGGCTGGTCTCAAACTCCTGACCTCAGGTAATCTGCCCGCCTCAGTTTCCCGAGGTGCTGGGATTACAGGCGTGAGCCACTGTGCCTGGCCGCACGTTAATCTTCTTAAAACATGACCCTGATTATGAGAGCCCCCCAAACTGGAAACACATGGCTCTACTTCCCAGAGGACCAAGTCCAGACTCCTCACCTGAGCATCCTAACACAATCCAACCCATGTTCCCCACCTCTCTCTGCTGCACTAGCAGGCATGCACCCTGGCCTGGCCCTCTCTGTCATCTAAACCCTCTGTATTTCCTCACCTTTGAGACTTTTCTCAGTTACTCTCCTTACTTGTAATATTACTGTCTTTATCCAGTAAATCCTATCCAGTCTCTAACATCTACCTCAAAACTCAAATAACAACAGCTAACATCCTATTGCTGCTATAACTGGTGAAAAACTAAGTTTTAAAAAGAATAACGACTGTTAACAACTGAGCACTTACTATGTGCTATGCAGTGTCCTAATTGCTTAACCTGTGTTTATTAATTTGATCCTCACAGCAACCTGAAGGTAAGTAGTAGTAGTAACCTCATTTTACAGATTAGGAATCTGAGGCATGTCATACAGATTGAGGTCACACTAATTGAGCTAATAAGTGGCCAGCTGAGCTGCTAACATGAGCTGTATGGCTGCAGACTTTACCCTCAACCAACAGCATGAACTCTCCAACTAGTTCCAAGCCTGTTTTCCTCTGACCATCTCAAGAGAAACGGACCTTTGCCCTCTGAATTCCTAGACATGTAAGCCAATTCCTGTTTGCGTTAGCAATGCTATCACCATGACTCCTGGACACTTTGCTGAAGCAGTAAACAGGAGACACAAAAATCTTGCCTCAAGGAGCTTCTATTCTAGGGAATAAAGATTTGCTAATATCCTTCTAAGAGAGAAATAAATTTGTGAAGAAAGTTAATGATAAAAGTTGTCGCCTGGTCCAGGAGCAAAGCCAAGGGGCCTCTGATGTTCAGGAGCTCACCTGTACTGCTCCTGCTCGTAGAGGTCCGCCACGATCGCCAGCAGGCGGCTGATGAAGGACTCACTGCTGCTGTCCTTGTTTGCCTGCGCAGCCAAGAGAGTGCATCTCTTCTCTGTCTCTGCCAGTTTCTTCTGCAGCTTGACATACTCTTGCCGTAGAAGCATCAAGTGCTTCTCCAACTTGGCCACCTCCTCTGCAAGGCAAACAAAGGATCAAAGTTTACTGTGGCTGGTGTAAAGCAGGCAGCACTCACCGTGTCCTCATCACACAGATGGAAAGACACCCAAGTGACCGGCCCTTGACAGATCTACTCTTTCTTAGTGCTAGTCCTACAGGATCAAGAATGGCTTTGAGGGCTGGGTACAGTGGCTCACACCTGTAATCCCAAACTTTCGGAGGCCAAAGCAGGGGGAATCACTTGAGCCCAGGAATTCGAGGTCAGCCTGGGCAATATACCGTCTCCATTTTTTAAAATATTCAGTAAAAAAAAAAGAAGAATGGCGGCTTTGTTTCAGGGTGCCGGAGCAAGAAGACCATCATGGTTACAGGGATTTCTCCTCTCAGCAGCTCAGTGTCCAGTAGATGACAATGAAGAGATATACACAAAGATGCTGACAGGAACCTGCCCTACCAATCTTTCCCATAAAGCTAGGAGTCTCCAGGAGAAAAAGCTATCAAAATCACCTACGAGATTTTCTGAAACCACTAACAGTAATAACAATTTCCTAATTTTTCCATGTTCTTCTAAAAGCTTTATATAAATTCCCTCATTTAATTTTTTTTTTTTTTTAAGAGATGAAGGTCTCATTATGTTGCCCAGGCTAGACTCAAACACCTGGACTCAACCGTTCCTCCTGCTTCAGCCTCCCATAACTGGGACTACAGGCACATCCCACTGTGCTCGGCTTCATGTCATCTTTACGACAAGCCTATGAGGCAGGTACTGCTACATTCCACCCCCATTTTACAGAGGAGGACACTGGGGCACAGAGAAGTTATGATTCCCCTGGGCTGCAAGGCTGGTGAGAGGACGGGCTGGGATCTGAGCCCAACATTCTTATTCCAGGGCCTATGATCATATTAACTATCCCCAACCCTGACACCTGTCCTCCTTCAGGTGATAATCAGGTCAGTCAATAAGGGTTCAGAGGGAGGCAAGTCAACTTCCACAGGTGTACTGGGCAGGTAAAAAGGTTGAGAACCACTGTCTTTGATTCATGCAATGCAACAAGCATATGTCCAGTGTGCAATAGGTGCTGGACCCTGCACAATGATACACGCGCTCTGATATATCTGTCCTCAGAGCTCCGAGTTACTGAGAAAAACAAAGAGAAACCTTTTTTTTTTTTTGAGACAAAGTCTCGCTCTGTCACCCAAGCTGGAGTGCAGTGGTGCAATTTTGGCTCACTGTACCTCTGCCTCCCAGGTTCACATGATTCCCCTCTGGAGTAGCTGGGTCTACAGGTGAGCACCAACATGCCTGGCTAATTTTTGTATTTTTAGTAGAGACAGGGTTTCACTATGTTGGCCAGGCTGGCCTCGAACTTCTGATCCACCAACCTTGGCCTCCCAAAGTGCTGAGATTACAGGCGTAAGCCTGTCCAGAACTTTTTTTTTTTTTTTTTTGGAGACAGAATTTCAATCTATTACCTGGGCTGGAGTGCAGAGGAGCAATCTTGGCTCACTGCAACCTCCGTCTCCTGGGTTCAAGCAATTCTCCTGTCTCAGCCTCCCAAATAGCTGGGACAACAGGCGGCACCACCACACCTGGCTAATTTTTGTACTTTTAGTAAAGACAGGGTTTTGCCATGTTGGCCAGGCTGGTCTCAGACTCCTAGCCTCAAGTGATCCTCACACTTCATCCTCTGAAAGTTTTGGGATTATAGGTATGAGTTACCATGCCGGGCCAGAAGTCAAATAACTTTTGTTATAATTTATAATTAAAATAATTACAACAGTCAAATGCAAAACTACAACTCTACGTTAGAGACCTGGAAGGTAAAAACAGCTATGAGAGGCTATAAAGAAAGTTAATTTAAGAGGTCAGGAAAGGCTTCCCTGAGGAAGCAAACAGTCATGAAACTTCTCCTTCACCTGAGGTCTGGAGTCTCGAGAAGGGATAAGACAGGGAGTTTATGCCACCATGCAAACTGTCAGCTTTATCAATCAAGGTCTCCGCGGCTCCACATCGCTGCGACAATCATACCCTGGACCTTGGTCCCTTCCCCACTCCCTACTCCACACCACAGACATTCCAAATCTTGACACTGCCCTCAAGCCCATCTCCAATCCAACCTGCCTCATTCCAGCCCAATGCCCTGAGAAATACTGCCAATAACTCCCACAGTACCAATAATGATTCCCACACCCCCTTTGCTTCCTCAAAGAGGGTATATCTCCCTCCCTTCCACGTTTAATCCCCAATGTGCTCCCCAAATCTCATCACGCTCCTCAGGACCTTGTGTGCTTTATCATCCACACCCCATCTCCTGCAACTCCAGTCTCTCTTTCAACTGGGTGGTTCGAGCCAGCACATAAACCAGTTCGAGTCTCTATTAAAGCCTCCCACTTCCACATCACATCTGAAACCCTCAGCCCCTCTATCTCCAGCTACCACACACAACTGTCTCACCTGCCATTCCCTTGTTCTGTCCCACCATTCCCTTAAAACTCCTCTCAGGCATGACATTCCAATTCCCAAATCCAGTGGACTCCTGCCAGTGGCTCTCCTCCTAGACCTCTGACAGCACATCACTCTGTTGTCCATCCCTTTCTTTCCTCATTTCAGCAACCACAACCATAATGCCACTATCTTATTCTGGTTCTCTGTCTCTTTCATATGCTTTCCTGCATCCTTTATTTTTCTATATTACATGTATAAGATATATATACATCCTTAGCTTAAGGACTAAAAATATTTATGAACACTGAAAACTGAATTTCATATAATTTTCACATCATGATACACTGATGTGATTTTTCCTCAACCAGTTAAAAATATTTAAAATATAGTTAATATTTATAAGTTATTTTTATATATTATATGTATAACATATACATAAATTCTTAGCTTAAGGACTGCACAAAAACAAGTCAACAAGTCTCAGGTCAGATTTGGCTGAGAGGCCATACAACCCCTGTTCCCCTGCTGCAGGTGATTTTAAAGAATTAGGCAGCTGCAATTCCAGCACTTTGGGAGGCAGAGGCAGGCGGATCACAAGGTCAGAAGATCAAGAGCGCCTGGGCAAACAAGGTGAAACCCTGTCTCTACTAAAAATACAAAAAAATTAGCTAAGCGTGGTGGTTCACGGCAGTAGTCCCAGCCACTCAGGAGGCTGAGGCAGAAGAATTGCTTGAACCCAGGAGGCAGAGATTGCAGGAAGCCAAGATCGCGCCACTGCACTACAGTCTGGGCAACAGCGCGAAACTCCTTCTCAAAAAAAAAAAGAATTAGGATGTTGGCTGGGCGCAGTACCTCACACCTGTAATCCCAGCACTTTGGGAGACCGAGGCGGGTACATCACCTGAGGTTGGGAGTTCGAGACCAGCCTGACCAACATGGAGAAACCCCATCTCTACTAAAAACACAAAATTAGCCAGGCGTGGTGGTGCTGCCTGTGGTCCCAGCTACTTGGGAGGCTGAGGCAGGAGAATTGCTTGAACCCAGGAGGAGGAGGTTGCGAGCCGAGATCGTTCCACTGCACTCCAGCCTGGGCAACAAGAGTGAAACTCCGCCTCAAAAAAAAAAAAAAAAAAAAAAAAAAAAAAAAAAAGAATCAGGATGTTAAAATGACACATAGAGCCAAATGAAAAGAGAAGCAAGCAGTTACCTATCTTGGATGCCTAGAATTCTGTAACCTCTCACTTCTTACCAGACCCAACAGCCGCTGCATCTCCAAGACATGCCTCTCTCCAAGCTTCTCTCCTCACCCTCACAGTGATGCCTCCCACCCCAAGGCAAACATCTCTTCTGCAGCTGTGCTCTTGGCTGCCCGTCAATCACACACTTCACCTTCTCCACCAATTTCTTAAGCATCCTCTTTAGTCACTACTCCCTGCCTTCCCTCCCAAACCTTGTGAAACTGGGCTTCTACTCACCTCACTCTACTAAACAGTCACAAAGATAAAATCACCCATTTCAATGACCTTTTCCCTATTCTTCGAGCTCTTCCATCTCCTTGTAGCACCCGACTCTCAATCACCCATTCTTAAAACTTGGCTTCCTAACTCTGTATTCCACTTTCTTCCTAACCTCGTTACAGATCCTTCACCTCCTATTCTGACCACCCACTTTCCGAAAAGGGCACAGTCCTGCAAGGTTCAGACCTAGAACTCAACTTTTGCTAAATTTTCTTCCTTGAAGGTGGTCTCATGCATGCCCATACTTTACTGTCACTGCTACAAAAGTGGACCCAAATCTCTTTCTTTCAACACCTCCTGCTGAAAGAATGACCGAATGGCACTATAAACTCAGTGAGTCCAAAATCAAACTTCCCATCTTCCTGAAATCAAAGTCTTCTTCCTCCTTCATTTCATGTTATCAAAGCTCTACGCTATGAATGTACAGGCTATGATAATGCATTTATAACAATATACCAAACATACAAAATATTTAGAGATGAATTTAATAAAATATGCAATGCATGCACACTGAAAACTATAAAACACTGCTGACAGAAATGCAAGGCAACCTAAATAACAGAGTTCTGTACTATGCTCATGGATTGGAAGGCTCAATATTGTTAAGATGTCAGGTCTCTCCAAATTGGTCTATAGATTCAATACCTTCCCAATAAAAATCCCAGCAAACTATTTTTGTAGAATTTGAAAGAATGATTCTAACTTTTTTTTTTTAAATAGGATCTCTCTCTGTCACCAGCCTAGGGTGCAGTGGCCTGATCACAGCTCACTATAGCCTCAAGCTCTTGGCTATAAGAGCTTTTTCTGTAAAAAAAATTACAGAAGAAAAATGGCTAAATTTGACTTTACCTAATTTTAAAAATTTTTCTTGAAAAGTCATAAAAAAATAAAAAGGCAAGACATAGACTGAGAGAAAATATTTGCAAAACATCCAACAAAAAACTTGCAGACAAGGCCAGGAGCGATGGCTTATGCCGTTAATCCCAGCACTTTGGGAGATCGAAGTGGGTGGATCATTTCAAGTCAGGAGTTTGAGACCGGCCCAGCCAACAT